AACATAACTGTTTATTCACAACTCAAATTCAAATGAAAGGTGAAAAGGAGACAAAATAGGTTATACCTTTCAAGTTTGTCTCGTAAAATAACCAAAAACGCAAATTTACTTCAGAATAAAATTCCTAATGAAATAGTTCCAAATTCCCTAAAACATTAGTAATATGGCATCTGAGTCTGTTCTTGAAAATGTTCAGAGTTTGTGCCTCCGCAACGTCTTTAGGTAAATTATTCCATTAATTGACTATATTTACAAAGAAAGAATACTTAAAACTATTTAGCCTCGTGGGCAATGGTTTAAGTTTATGGCGATAGTTGGCTCTCAACGGTTTAAAATTATGTGCAAGCGTAAAATACTCAAATGGATGTAGCCCTTTTAGACTGTGAACCGTCTTGTAGCACTCGGTAAGCGAAGAAAATAATCTTCTCTGATGTAGAGTTGGCCATTTAAGGAACTTAAAGCGCTCTTCACACGACGTATCTCGGCCAATGTTTCTGAGGGTAAATCTACATGCTCTACGTTGTTCTTTCTCTAAAATAGCCGAATCCTTTTTGAGGTGTGGAGGCCACACTAGATAGCAATACTCGAGTATTGGACGTACTAAACCCTTGTACAGTTTCGAGAACAATTCAGGGTTCCTGGGGCCCACTGTTAGACTTATAAATCTGAGCACGCTGTTTGCCTTGTTTGCACATTTGTTGGTTTACAGGCTCCATGATAGATTTGATGTGATGTGAATTCCAAGATCCTTAACGTTAGATACAGCTTTCATCTGGTTCCCATATAGAACGTAATTCAGGCTCCGAATTAACATTCTTTTCCGAAATGCGCATTACCCCACATTTGTTTGCTTTAAACCGCAGTTACCAATCATTGCCTCAGGACTGCAATCGGGTAAGGTCCCTCTGCATTTAAGGACTCAATACACTTCTATGTCATCTGCAAAGAGTTTGGTTTGTGATGTAATATTTCTTGGAATGTCATTAATGTAAACAAGAATTAAATGGGACCCAACCCAGTTCGCTGAGGTACGCCAGACTAAATAGAAGTCTAAGATGAATAATCTCTATGCAGGGCAACTTGCTGGTACCGATCTGTTAAAAAACTTCTAAACCAAGGCAGAAGTGAACCTTAGATAAGTTAGTAATCTTGTGGTTTCCGTTCCAATTATTCATCGAGACTCAGCGGCCAGAAAAGTGCAATGTCAAAGTGTCTCTCCGTGTATTTTAAGGCGAAATTTGGGGTCACAGGGCAACACAAGGACGGACCATATCAATCAGAAGAAGATGGATCGGGGATTCAATGCGCTTTTTAAAGAGCTCCCGTTCCAGCACACTTCTGTTTTGAATAAGAGCATGTCAATTTGTACAGTTAATGTTTTATTCTATATTACACTTATTGTATTATGTAATTTTTATTTTTACTGTCAGTGGTTGCTATGTGGCCCAGCCGGTCTAATTTAAATGATAAAAGTGAGAAATATTTTGCTCGATAAATTTAATTACACTTTTGACGAATATTGAGTCTCGGGCACCAAATTCGACGTGAGGGAAGACAATCTCCATAATGATAATGATGTGACTCCTCATGGATGAGAGGGAACCAGGAAAGAGGAAATGTTAGTCTGGTGACTTCAGCTCTTCGACCAGAAATGATTTTTATCTCGCCACAATTACAAATTTTTTCTTCAAGAATTAGTACCTAATTTTTGGTGTTTTGCGGCGTTTTCATGGAAGCTGTTGAAGAGACAGTTGGAAATTGAGCGGATGTTTGTTAGCGCGCGTGAAGACAGAAGGATGTGGCATAGCTTCGGAGCTGAACCTACTTATTGGAGCTTCCTGTGGAAGAGAAGCGGAAAACGGAGAAGAATGAGGTAGACGAAGATAACTCGAGTATACTTTTTTGAGAGCTTGAAACACTTCCTGGCTCGTACTCGCCACCATTTTGCTTGCGGACATCTTTAAAGAACTTGCCAAGGAGTTTGTTGAGAGCAGCAACAGGTATGTTCATCACATTAAAATTTCCATTGACCTACTATTCGTAAAACCCTTCAAACTTTTTCCACTCGTATTTCGTGTTCTTCGTAATGTCTGACGACCTTCGGCAGCGATGAAATCATCTGGTTCTCGAATCGAGTGCAGTCTTCGTCGTGCTCGTCTTTCTCCCTTTCGTCGCCTGTCTTCCTCCAAAATCTCTAAGAAACCAACTCGAAAGACTGAGATATTTGCTTCTGAGTTTTTGTTCGTTTGCGCACTTTTCCTTAAGAAGTTTTTCAAACTTTACTTCAAGAAACATTTTGATGATCAAAACAAACTTTTGAATTTAGTGGGCCGTACAGTGAAATACGGACTAATCCTAGCGCACTTACTAACTGAGAGACATAATAAAGGGATTGATTTAAAAGGTTAAACAAATAATTTGTTAAGAGGCTTTATATGTAAAGAACGATTAAGTGGCAGTATCGTCAACTGGATACGGAAAATCGTTGCTTTTACAGGTTTTGTATCGATCTGTTGTAGAGGATAACGGACGCAGCCTGCACTTCTTCAAGCACGATTTGTAAGTCGTTAATCCAACTGTTTCCCCGTTAAACACCCTAACAGACGACCATAAAGTTTCAAGCTTGAGAAATAATAGGGTATGAACAACGAAGTTAAGGGTTGGAGACGCCTTTTATTAAAAGGTTACGAAGCAAGTAGGTGACTTCAAAGACGTTACCAGAACTGTTGTTTACTGAATCGAACCGAAGTAAATCACGAACAAGAGTTTAGAATCTCTTGTATCGAATCACCACCGTAAGAACTAAAATGAAAGGTGCAGAGGAATTTCTAACAAGGTCTAGAAAATACCGAACTACAAATACACTTCAGGTGTTTCAAAAGTCACATAAAAAAAACCACACACTTGAAAGAAAATAACGATAAACGATTTGGTGGGGCGACCCTAAAAGCCGGAACGGCGGAATGGCGGAATGGCGGAAAATGACCCCAAATCCTAAAGCAAGGAACGGCGGAAAATGACCCCAAATCCTAAAGCACGGAACGGCGGAAAATGACCCCAAATCCTAAAGCACGGAACGGCGGAAAATGACCCCAAATCCTAAAACACGGAACGGCGGAAAATGACCCCAAATCCTAAAACACGGAATGGCGGAAAATGACCCCAAATCCTAAAACACGGAACGGATGTCAGGGCATGTTGCACAAATTTTGTACAAAGACACCAAGCGCTTGGCTCATTTATCCCCACGACGATAACGCGCGTGACTAAAATTAAGTGTTATTAATTTTTTTTCTTTTACTGAGTGGTATAAATAATAATGAACCATTATGCATGAAAGATAGCTGCGTTTTCGCGTTGTAACCCTGTTTAGTTACCTTTTGTTATGCAAAATTTGCCATGAGTTTTAGTCGCGGCATAAAAAGTCGCACAGCATTTGAAAACCAACTCGACATACCACATTACAATAAACAATTATAACTTTGATACGTCTGTATTGATTTATTGAAACAATAATATCTCATATGCTTGTAAATATGAGAACATCACAGGAACGTTTTCAGGCTTCTCAAAATATGACAACGTTCAGCCCCAGCTCCAAACTTAGACTAGCGTGAGAGCAAGCCCTCGTTACGAGCCCTTCAATACGAGCGTTTTTTCATCAACGAATAAGTTTTGGGACTTGAGTAACACTAGTTGAAGAGAGGTTTGCAGGGTGTCACGCGCGTGGGAATTTCTCATGGCGTGAAAAGACAAAGAAAGTTAGCAGAAGGAAGCCGTCAAGAAGAATTTGAAGAATTTCTTCGCGACCAGGTGTCCAAAACACCACCATCCTATTGTGAAATTTACGGCTTACATATCAGCGGAAGAAATAAACTTTCTGGACAAAAAAAGGCTATTTCACTAATTCTTCTAATTTGCATGGTGAGAATAGATCCTGTCACTAGAACCTCGCTAACTCGAACCTGGCGAACTCGAAACCCCCGCTTACTCGAACAAGACACAATTTCCCTTGGATTTGACCCCATTTTTTCCAGTCATTTGCTAGCAGCAACTCCTAAAAGACGGCATGGCGGAAAATTACCCAAAAGCCTAAAAGACGGAATTATAGGCAAGGCCAAAGGATCAAGAGAGCCAAATAAAAATCAAGTGTACCCAAACTAATTTCCCCTTAGGAGGATAACTTCCGCGGATATTAAGTCAATACCGGAAAAAAATATCTTTGCTCGTAATAATGTTTAATATCATGCTGTGGATGTCCATTAACTAATTTATCAACCTCTCTTTTTTGAGTAAAATTGACATTAGGCCTGTCAGGGTTTGACTTTGTCCACATGCAGTGATACAATCACAAGCGTTGACTTACTTCTTGTTAACGCAATCTTAACTAAAACTCCGACATTATCAGATCTGAGGTCATTTTCCCCCGTTCCGTGTTTTAGGATTTGGGGTCATTTTCCGCCGTTCCATGTTTTAGGATTTGGGGTCATTTTCCGCCGTTCCGTGCTTTAGGATTTGGGGTCATTTTCCGCCGTTCCGTGCTTTAGGATTTGGAGTCATTTTCCGCCGTTCCGTGCTTTAGGATTTGGGGTCATTTTCCCCCGTTCCGTGCTTTAGGATTTGGGGTCATTTTCCGCCATTCCGCCATTCTGCCATTCCACCATTCCTCCGTTCCGGCTTTTAGGGTCGCCCATTTGGTGTACAGCCTCCTTCGAAAAATCTTTAATCTTTAGGTTCAGACCGTGTCAGCGAGGAAATTATACAACGAAAATAATGTTACACTAGCGTGATTAAATATGCCGATCAAGCGTAAAAAAAATTATTTGTTTTGGTTAATTTCGTTTTACCCTTCGTGTTAGAATTGACAAAAATATTTTACTCACGAGCCCCTTCAATCGAGTCTCCCATATTTTTGGAGACATGTTACCAACCGTAACCGCGGTATTTTCATTGGGAAAGAAAGAGAAGGATTCTGGGAGTCATGTCACATCAGACACTCCATGAATGTTTCTTTGATAGAATGCGGAAAAAAATTATCTCAACCAATTTGGGCTTGTGAAAGGATAATGGATCTTTCTCTTAATTGTGTTTTTCGAATGGTTCTAGTCACACTTTTATTCTGTTCCGGAATTCAGAAGTCAGGTAATGTTCATCGAGTTACGATTATAGAGATTCTAGTTTTGTTCGTTTGTTGTTTAATATAATGTTTTCTGTTTTCCTTCTTCAGAGTCCGCATTCAGAATCAGCCAGAAACCTTCCAATCCCACTATTGTGGTGCTTGGAGTAAACAGCAGCCGAGTCACACTTGTGTGGCGGTATTCTGATGCGCCAAGTCAGTATTTCGTTCAGTTTTGGAGACAGAAAACTGGTGAAAAAATTACACAAATATCATCAAGCAGGGATGGGAATGCGTTCAACCCGAGCAACACAAATGAATTCGATGCCTCGCTTGAAGCAACACTAACACTGAAGAACGTGGAGAGAAATGAGGAATACACCTACTCTATCATTTTGCTGGATTCTGGTGCCAGACAGGTAGAGACACACGCAGTTTCTATTAATGTGGTCGGTAAGTGAAGCTGTTTCATGAGTTGCTTTGATACAATTTGTCTTATATCAACAGCCATCTCTCAGTTTGCGTGAAATGCGAGTTTTTTTTATTGGAAACTACAAGGTTTAAATTTTCGGTAGAGAAATGTCATAATGTACACAGAAACTCAAATTATCACTACACCGTACGTCTTTCGATTAAGCACAGTTGCACTTTTAGTGCCTCGAGTTTCTTGTTGCATTTTAGCGGCGATCAATAGAGCCATCCTTTTATGTAGTCCAAGCAATGCTGGAATTCTTATGAATTGGTCGTTAAGTTACCTTTTAGTTTTCTGCTGCTTTAACTTGTTTCTTTGACAAAGATTAATAATTCAGCTTTCGCTTGGGTTATATGTAAATGTGTTCTGTGTTATCAATATCACTCAGGCGCGCAAAAAATGTTCGTAGTGCAGCAATTCACGCAGATAAAGACTTCTTGATAACCTTTAGCGTGATTTTGAGGCTACAAGCTATTCGCTCTGACAAATAGCTAACCCTTGAAACGTTGCATGTAGAGTCTCTTTACGGTGGCCAATTTATCAGCATAGTTGAAAGAAACCAAATTATCTTGTTCAGATCCCCTTGTACAGATTTCTGCAGCTGTAAAAGTTTGGAATCACCTTGACGAAAGCATTAAACACCTAAAAACATTTAAAAACAAAGTCAAATTAAACATCTTACAGGCTTACTGTTCATGAGTTTTCAACTGGTCTCTTCTTTTTCTTTTTCTTTATCTTATAGTTATTAATTTCTTTTTGTCCCCCTTTTTTTTTTTGACCAATAATTTGCTTTGCTCAAGCTTTAGTGCCAACCTACGTCCTATATTTAAACATTATTTACTTTTACTCAGCTAGATTAGCTTTTCAGTTATTCTGAGTAAATGTTACCTTTTTTTGTATTAATATATAATGTGTGTAAATTAAGTTTAACTTCTCAATTTGGTAATGAAGCTTGTTGTTGTTGTTGCTAATGCAGCAACACAGTTACTCTAGAAACTTACCCCTCTATTCATAAATTATTTTGGTCTCGTTTTTGAGGTAATCAAGATTCAATATGGAGATAATTTATGCTCCGGCCATTCTTGTCATTTTTCAGGGCTCTCTCTCTCTCTTTTGACTAAAGCTTTACCAGGAGGTTGTTATCTGCCTTTCTAGAGCAAAAAGTGGAAAAAAAACAAAAAACAAAAAAAACTCTCACATGCATTATATGGAAATTGACAGAAGACAGACATAGGGGCATTTTAGGAAGGACAACTTTTTTTTTCTTACAATATTAAACAAAACATACAGGCTTTTGCAAAAGATCTGTACATGAAGGTCAATTATATCCTTTACAAGAGAGGGACTTCTGGATTCTGTTGCTGTCAAGAAATAGTGTTCTAAGTGCTTTAAAGGTAAAACTAGCTATATATGTCCAGGAAGAAGTCAAAGATGTTGTTAAGAAAATGATCTCTTTTAAACACTTTTATGTCTTGAGAGAACAGCCAAAAAAACGTTCAAGCAATATTTTGATGAAACTGACAGTAAAAAATCAATAACAGTAGTTGATGTGGCTTTGTGTAAGAATAACCATTAATTGCCACCACCTATAAACACCAGCAACCTAAATTGATGTAGTGAGCCGTTCATCATCCATGGGGTCATTGCTATTCCAAGTGAAGGGTCAAGGTTTTTGTCATCCTGAGAGGAGAAAGAGAAAAATTCCATTCATGCTAAGGCTGTTGTATTCATTTGGGCCACGTTTAACTTTTGTAGGTGAGATTTAATGGTCTGCACAGATGAAGATAAAGGAAAAATATATTCTCACTCAAAAATCTTGATAAGAAATTGTATTTACTTTGGAATGATGTAGCAAAAGAAGTGCTTTACTTTATCTAAACTTATACCAGTTCCAGCCTCACAACAGGTTTCCATTACACTAATAAATGGATCATCTTGGGAGAAACAAGCACTAAAAAATACTAATGAGATGTCTCAGAAACTGGAAGAAACATCTGTATTTGTTACTGGAGAATGATGATTTATTTCAGAATCAAACTTTGTATTTCAGGACGTGAAATTAATTTTTTTTTTCTGATAGCCACTTGGCTCCTAAATTTTTCAAAGTGGTAGCCAATTCAAGAAAAGTTGGTTACCATTTTTAAAGACAAACAAAACCTTTTTTTATGCTGTCAGCATTATAGATAGACCCTCCAAAAAATATTTTTAATGTGCTACAAAGTGGAATCTTGGATGGATGATATACAACGTTCCAGCTAAATCCAAGATGGCATCTAGTTATTGTTGGTTTTAATGTAGCTGCACCCTCCCCCCCCCTCCAAAGGTGAAACAGAGCAGCCACATGTGGGCTAAGTTGTCGATTGAGATGCGTGTGCTGTGTTTTGGAAACAAACTTAACAAGGAAGTTTGCTGTGGATTTATCTTTACAAATCTTTTTAATTCACTATATCTCTAGGTAAGATTATGATGAAGCATTCTACTCCCCAATGTGGCAACTAATTTTCAGAATTTCGTCGCCAAAGTGAAACTTTAGTGGCATTGGCACCTGTATTAGTCGCAATTGATGCCCTGTATTTAAATATTAGAGCATTTCATTTCACAATTCAAGTGTGGAAACATGTAGCAGTAACAAGAGTCATGCAACGCATGTACAGTACATGTGTATACACCTGTTAGATTTTGTTTTCCCTGTGATACAATAGTTACCTAGCTAGTTTCTAGTCTTGAACATACCTTTCATGAGTATATTATTTAGTAAAAGGATGTGTCAAAATCTACCTGGAATGGTCCACTGTTGATAACTGTCAACTTGAGTTGGTGATACAAGTGTAATCACCACCAATCTTATGTGTCAACATTGTAGAATTTATGAGATTTGACTAAGGTGTCCAATTACAAAACATCTCATAGCATTTTGATAACCGAGCAATAAACAAGTGACTTGATTGATACCATTGCAATATTGAATTTGGCTCATTTAAGACAAGCTAGTCATAAAAATGTGCATAGATTGATGTCGTTAGTAACACTTCAGACATGTGAGAACAGAAATATTTTACAGAGGCTGACTTTTTTTAATATAGACATGAAGTTCTATGATAGGTTTCCACTGAGATTATATGTTCGCCAAAGCAAACTTTTCCTTTTTTCCTTCTCTTACATTACTACTAAGAAACTTTGAACTTAGCTGGAATCATTTGAGAGCTATTGATTTGATGACCCTTGATTAAATCAAACAGTCAAATAATTATCTGTTTGAAAGCCTCTGAGTTGGCCCTCACTTCCATAATTTTTATGATATTCCTTCCCCAGAATGAGTTTACCTTAACAACTGTTTTGCTTTGCAAAATCAATAGCAAGAGAACAAAAATAAATCGCAAACTGAATTCAGAATGGTGGTTATAGAGCTTCTGAACTTTTATTCTTTCATGACAAGGACATGGCAGGAAAAGCAATTGATATATGGTGGAGAGGGTGGCAGTCAATATTATAGGATCACCCCTAGTCTTCAGGTTTCTCAGGAGAGTTTACTGGTGCCAATACACTCTTTTTGGTAAAGAGAAACACTGCAAGCTAGAGTAGTGTCTCACTCAAGTAACTGATATAGTGATTCATTAGGGCTATCTTAGTTGTTATAATCTTTGCTTCCCTGTTATTTCACAATATTATGTTAATATTTATAATCCCTTTGAGAAGCAATTGTAATTGTAATTAAAATATTATATTATGTAATAACTGTGATGATATCGCAAAATCTAGATACAATGTATTTATCTTTAATTGTTATTTCACAGTTCCTCCAGAAATTACTGACCCACCAGAGGCAAAGCCTTTACTTGCCATCGGAGAAAACCATACTTTGACCTGCAATGCATCTGGAGACCCTCTTCCCAATATTTCTTGGACAAAAGATGGCATTCCTGTGGATAGGTTTTATGTGACAGGTTATCAGCTTTATTTGTTCGACGTGAAGTTGGAGGATGTAGGATCGTACAGATGTACAGCTAGTAATGGATATGGAGATAATGTCACTAGTGTCAGTATTGTTGGCATAAGATGTAAGTAGTCTGTCCTGTTTATCTGATTACAGCAATACATTTTTAAATTGTTTATGGTTTGATTTTAGACAGACACAATGGTGTTATGATTCATGTTTAACTGCAAAATGACACAATGGCACTGAATTAGCAGAATATAGAGAAAAAGTAGTTACTTTCTCTCCTGTTGAGATGTCAATACAGTATTTTTGTTAGATTGTCTTAGTGCCAAGCATAAAGGTGTCTGTCTCTGTGAAACAGTTTTGTTTTTTTCAGTATTTATGCACTTACTTTAACAGAGATCAAAGCTAGCTTTGTTATGTGGGCAGGAATTATTGGTCGACAAGCCTTCTTTTAATGGCTAATTGCATGGAACAATTTGATGGCCAAACAAGTAGGGTTCGAAAAATGTTCACTTCAGAACATTCTTCAACTCATAAAAAAGTCACCAGTTGAAGATATAAGATGGTTATAAAGAGAAAAAAACAAATAATTAAATGAATAAAAGTGGCAACTGGTATTGAAAGTCTTATTGCCAAAAGTCCATTTTCAGTGGCTTTGGCCACCAGCCAGTCACAATTTGAGATGCTACTTTCTTTTTGATTTGTAATATAATGATAAACTGATTTGCATGTTGTAGGTTACTGAGAGAGGCAAGTTTGCTGGGCACAATATTTTTCCTTCCCAGATAAAAATATAAGGTGGGATCCCACCTTTTTCAGGTGGGATCCCAGGTGGGATCCCACCTGGGATTATGGAACATCCCGCATGAGATCCCACCTGGGATTATGGAACATCCCACATGGGATCCCACATGGAATCCCACATGGGATCCCGCCTTGAATTCCTTATAGCATCCCACCTGGGAAAGCACATCCTGGGCGGGATTAAACCTAGAATCCCACCAATCCCTCTTAGGATCCTGCCTCAAATTTCAGATAGTTTCCCACCTGGGAAATCATATCTAGTTTAGACCCTGCATAAAATTTCAGATGGCTTCCCACTTTCAGAAAAATCCTTTGCGGGATCCTGTTTAACACTGGAGACCACAGATTTACGAAATGTACCAGATAGGATATCTTATCAATTCCTTTTGTAACCTAATCCTTCAAATTAAGAGGATAAAATTTTCTAGGTAAGCTATAGACCCCATCAATCCACTGAGGGTCCAAAACTTTCCAACAAGCTATAGAACATACTGACACCTCCAATGGGATCCCATTATCTTACCCAAGCTGTTGATCATAAATGTTTCAAACAGTACATGAATACACAGAATATATGTGATAAATATAGCAACACGTTCCAACACAGCTAGCCATCTCGATTCCTCAGTCGGTCTTTCCACTGAACTATAGCAGTGGTGCCAATAGAGTCAAGTGCGTCTCATAACAGAGAAAACATCAAAATTATGTCGCCCCATCGAAGTAAAGTATTAACTTTAGCTGACTCGCTTGTCGTTCTTTCAAAATGCACCTGTGTACTGCGAAGATGATAAATCTACTTCGAACATTTCGGCTTACTTCAGGATATTATTTCAATAGTTTGATGTAAAGCATGCTTAAAATGAAGTCATGTAACACTAACTAACCTTTCATTCGTGTTTTTATATCAAAAGGTGCTTTAGTAGAGGAAAGGGCAATCAAAAAACTTCACAAAACAAGCGTAAAGTTGGAGTGTCTCGACCGACCTCGACCGATAGCGATAGGATTATAGTACCCAGTTCCCCGCGCGCTGCTGATAACATTCTTTATTGATTACGTAGGTAATTGTATTCGTTTGTCCTTTATGGCTGACCCGGGAAATTCACACAGAAAAGAACACAACATTTACTTCCAACATCACGTTTATTAGTAACTAAGGACTATTTTCCACTAACAACAGGTATTTATACTTAATGCATTTACTTTTGTTTAAAACTTAAGAATAAAATATCTTAGATCCTAATTTAATTTTCTCTCTTTACGCCTTACTCGTAACAATAGTCAAGTTCTTACAAATAACTACAATTGAAATTTGTTCACTAGCGAATTAAAATCTTTTGTTGAACACCAAGGAATAAGATATCTTTCATCGTAAGGTTTTTTTCTCTCTTTACGCCTTGCTCGCAACAAAAGTCAAATTCTTACAAATAGCTAGACTTAAAATCTGTTCACGAATTAAAATCTTTTGCTTAACACTTAGAATCAAATATCTCAGATCCTAATGTATTGTTTTCTCTTAACGCCTTACTCTCTGCAAAACTCAAATTCTTACAATTAGCTAAATCTTTGATCCTAATCTTAACGCCTTACTTACAAAGCAAAACTCGAACAATGACGTATTCTATCACTTTCTATAACTAACTTAACGCATTGTTTTAAGCGCCTCTCGGCCCAACAAGTAATGAACAAGCCTTGAGAAGTTGTCTCGCCGTCTTGTCGCCCTCTTCATATTGTCCCCACAGTGAAAATACCTTAGCCTGGATTTGACGATATCTGCGCCGCTGAACTCGTCGAAGTTTCTTTTCTGAGACCATACGCACATTCAGGGAAGTTAGTTTGGCTTCTTTGTAGAGCAGGTCGATAAGTAAGTACATGGGTAGCTGTCGAAGTACCTTCCATACTGCACACTCGAAGTCTAGCGTGACTTGTCGTAGCGCTGGGGATGGTAACAGCTCTAGCAGCTCTCGGAAAACAGCTCAGTAATCACGCTTCCGTTTGCCCGACATAAGGACAAACACCAACGGCACCTGCTTGACGTAGTCATCTGCCTTTACGAAGGCGTTGACTGTTAACAGCTGGGTTAACGGCTGACGGCACAGCTTAAAGGTCGCATCCACGTACCAGCTTTTTGCTCTGTTGAGTAGGTCGAGTTGGTGTCGTGTCGCGAAAATCAAATGACGTCGTCCACCAACCTAGTAAGAAAACGAATGCCATAATTAACCTACTGTAAACTGCCGTATAATGATTACAACACTGCTCCAGTCCGTTTAAAAGATTTTGTGTTGTGAAACTGTAAAAACAATAGAAAACGGGTGGTTTTCGAAATAATAACTAGGTTAATCTATTCAGCAAACGCATGCCATAATTAAATTACTGTAAGCTGCTGAATAATGATCACAATACTGTTCCAGTCCGTTTGAAAGATTTGGTGTGGTGATGTTAAGTTAAAATCAATTACTAACTGTTTCTCGAATAACCTTTTAGTTTGTTGAATAACTTATTTAGTTTTGTATGTGCTAATATATAGTGTTAACATTCATTTTACTTACTCTAACATCATTCCTGAAGAAGTTGTCGGGGACGTGCGCCAGTTCCAACTCGAACTCAAGGTCACGCGGTTCTGTGGGGCGGAGTTTCTGACGAAGGCAGTTCGCGTTTCTGGCCAGATGCGCTGGTTTCGGTAGACCCGGACATGGAACATCGGCAAGCTCTTTCAGTAGGACCTGGTTTACTATGGCGGATGCGGGTTTAAAGTACTCGACCTCTGCCTCCTCACGTACGCGGGACACAATCTTCGCTGCAACCTCGGCGCCAACCTGCCCGTTGTGGTTGTGCTGCTGTCTGCCTGGGATGAACTGGCCACTACGTTCAATAACAGTTGCTCTACAGGGGTTGATCTAATAAAACAAAAAAGAGATATAGAATCAATTAGATGGCAATTCAACAGAAACGTTGTTCGTTTTAAGGAAAAAAGATATTTACCTTCGGCCGCACTGTGCACTGCCAATGCGTAGCGCCAACACACTGCCTCTTAACGTTGTATGTGTAGCCGTCGTTGTCGACCAGCTTTCGTTTCCTCTCCAACGTGGCATCGTCAACGATTGTGAATGTAAGCTGATGCGGCTGCTGGACAATCTGTTCGTTTTAAGGAAAAAAGATATTTACCTTCGGCCGCACTGTGCACTGCCAATGCGTAGCGCCAACACACTGCCTCTTAACGTTGTATGTGTAGCCGTCGTTGTCGACCAGCTTTCGTTTCCTCTTCAACGTGGCATCGTCAACGATTGTGAATGTAAGCTGATGCGGCTGCTGGACAATCTCGGCAGGGTCTGGGTCATCAAGCGATAGCTCTACCGCTACGGGGGACGCTGCAGTCGGTAACGCTGGCAGAGGCGGAGATGTAGGTGAAGGTGCTGTGGGTGACACTGGCGTAGGTGATGCTGTTGCTGGTGCTGGTGATGGCGGAGGTGAGTCGGGGACTGCAACTGAGTCGTACTCTGGCTCAGATGTCAACTCGGCGCATGCAGCACACAGCCAGTCGATTTCAACGCCGTTAATCGATCGATGAATATATTACAAACTTACTTCATAAGCGAAGTTACTTTTTACAAGCCGCTCGCTCAAGTTACATCGAGTTACATCGTAATAATCTTGCAAACTTTTCCTTCGATCGATCGATAAATCTTACAGCAGTGTTATGTTTATGTTATAAATCGATCGTTCGCGTGAAGTTACTTTTTACAAGCCGCTCGCTCGAGTTACATCGAGTACATCGACTTACTAACTTTTCCTTCGATCGATCGATAAATCTTACAGCAGTGTTATGTTTACGTTATAAGTCGATCGTTCGCGTAAATCGATCGGAGAATCTTACAAACTTTTACTTGATAAGCGAAGTTACGCGTTTGGGCGACGCAACTTTGATGTTGGGGGGACACAACTACGATGTTGGGGCGACACAACTCCGATGTTGGGGCGACGTAACTTCAGTTGGGGCGACAAGGCAATGGGGCGACACAACCTGACACCAACATTTGCACGAGAGACAAAAGCAACTACATGCGATTACAGAGGTGCACTGGAATTCTCGTCTACAAATGGTTATGCACAGTCCGAAGCGTTCCCGAGCTTGGAAAGGGGGTGGAGAGAACGAAGATACAAGGTTGTCATTTTATACTACAAGTAAAATTTTAACAGGAACAATTTTGTTTATCGCTGACACAGAGAAGAACCACAGAGAAGAACAACAAGTAGACTTTAGAGCTGTAATTATTGAACTGTGACTTACACTTTTCATTTGAAAGTAGGACTTGTATTTTGCACCAAAAATATAAAGTAATATTTTTTAGGAGGTCCAGTCATTGGGACATTTAAGAAATTAAGTTACGAAAAGAAACTCGGTTTGTACTTCTCACTACTAAGAAGTCTTGTTTTAAAAATATTTTCAGATCAGAGTTTCAAATAAAGCAAATTGAAGAAGTCATTTAAAAGGTGTATTTTCTCGAAGGGAACAGTGACCACATCTGTCTTGTCCGCATGCCAAATATTTGCGGAGTGTATTGACTATCCATAAGTATTGGAACTCTCACAAAAATGTTTTGTGAGAATAAAAACAGCAAAACAATATTTTCGTAGGTGGGATATGTAAATCCTGACTAGGATCCCAGGTAGAGTGCATAAGTCCCGCCTAAACTCCCGGGTGGGATGCAGAAATCCCACCTAAGATCCCGAGTGGGACGCAGGAATCCCGCATTAAATGCGGGATCCCAGGTGGGATCAAATTTTCATCCCAGGTGGGAAAGGTGGGATCCCACCGCCTAAGGTGGGATCCCGCCATTCCCACCTGGGATCCTGGGTGGGATTGCCGGGATCCCGCCTATATCCCGCATGACATTTTAGCTGGGTTACTCCTGCCTTTGCATGAAGCCAATGTTAATTAAGTTGCAGTTTAAACCCATCTCAAAGGGCAAACTGAAAATCCAATTGTTTTCTATTTATGACTAACCTTGAGGTCAAAGCGTGAAGTTCAATGAAAAACAGCAATTCCACCTGCTTTCAAAACATGCAATAGTTTTTTTTTTGGCATGAAGATACTTTATTGCCAGGGTGACCATGCAATATGTTCAATATCCGCAATGGTCAATAATGTTTGACTAATAATATTGTTTAATGCATGCTAATTTTTGTTCATCACACTTTAGGTAATGATTGTTTAATTAGGAGCATTGGAATAACATTACAGATTGAAGTTTGGACTTCAGCCTTTAATAACAGAGAGTCAATTGAGTTCAAAACATTGGAGTCAAAGTTTTTATCAGAAGTAAGTATCCTAATGTGGCATTTATTAAGGACATTTGGTAACCATATCAGGAGGAGAAACCCCCCTATATCTATCTGTTCACAATAGTGTGGTGATTAGCAAATTATTGATGTTTGAGTATAAAAAGGTCTTGTTTTATTCCTCTCTTCCAGTACTGGCTGACTTATTAGCATCCTTTTTATCCATTTAAGATGTCCGCAATAATCTCTGTAGATTCTTTTCATAGTTCTGCTCTTCATTCAGCATTCAGTAAAGAGTTTTCCATGACTATGAGTTACAAGGATGTTTGAGTTACAACTGAGGAAAGCAGACTTTTGTGTTGTAATAAATTAGCCAACAAACCTGTGGGAACTAGTAAACTTGATGCTCTTCTTTTAAGGCAAAGGCAGCTAACTTAAACTAAATTTAGACACTTGGATTTCAATTTTTGGTTTCTTACATTTGATAGTTAAGTAAAATGTGAGAAGAGATACTGTTTTCAACTGCCACAATAGGATACCTGTACACTTTCATTACTTCCAAAGCAGGGTCACATGGAGTGAATCTTTGAGTTTTTCGATTTGATTTTTCTCTTGTCCTCTATTCATGTCTGATGACATTCATAGATCAGATCCCAATAGCCTTGAATTTATTATAGATTAAAGGAGTAGGTTTACATTAGAAATTTGTAAATTTTACTCATATAATTGGAGAAGTGCCGTGAGCCTAAAACTATATACTTGTATGAGCAGATGAGATCAAGGCTTTCTCGCTCTGCGTGAACATTTAAATTGTACATTTAAGCATTTTTAGCTTGTAAAATGACTGTCGTTCTTATAATTGTTTAAGATTTCTTCTGTTTACACAAAAAATCCTGGAAAACAACTGTACACAGTGGGTCTTGTTGATTTCAGGTAAGTGTCAAGATTCAAAAGAGTGCCCAGTATAGGCATATGTGAAGTAATATTTTTAGAAAAGGGAAATGGCCCTCTGCTATTATTTCAGGATTTAGTTACAGTATAAAGTTGATCGACATATGTTCAAACATTTTTAGGTTATATCCATCATGTTTAGTTTTTGGAAAATTAATTTTCAGTAGAATGACATTAATGGCCAAGATGAGTTAGTATTAACCATTTGCTATTATGCAAAAAAAACTTTTAATAGTGAGTTTTTTCCTGGTTATAGATCTGGTAGTGTTGTTGCTGAAGTAGAGCTCAAGTTTGAAAAATCTGTTCTTGATCCTTTGAAACCACTGGAAGATGAAATCAAAGATGGAAGTCTTGGGTCATTCACAGTGAGCCGTGAACTTGACTTGAATCCAAGTAAGGCCTGTGCTACATGACAACTAGATTCTATTTTGCCGTTGTGGGAAATTACAAACTTACTTCATAACCCTGTACTGTTTGTAGATGAGCTATTGTCAAAACTAGGGGGTTTTTCAAGCAAAGTGGGTTACACACATTCAAGTGTGTAAAGGATGTTTTATTATATTACTCGCATGGATGCATATATTTTCTTCGAGTGTTGAGAATTTTTTTTCGCATGCTCGGCTTGCTCGCTTGTGAGAGACGTCATTAACACGTTCTTAATAGTCATCTTCTCTACCAAATAGAGTATGGTGAGATCTAAAACTAGCTACCTTTTCATTGTTCTTCTCCAACAGGCTTCACTTATTTCAAGGATATCTATGTTGTAGTTTTCAGCCTCTTGTCCAACCCTCCTCCGTCCACGCTTGGGACCGGCATAGGCCGAGTTAATGTATAGTAGTTATCAGTGACCCACATTTATGTCCGACTGAAATTCACTTGCATAGTCACTGAGGTTACAGAAGAACTGCTCTGACTTCTGAAACAATAAATTTATCAAGGTGTTGTGCGAACACTATTCTTCCAAAGAAAAATTGAGTTCAATCTTGGTAATTTTCTTAGAAAAAAAAGTGGAAAAGTTATCATGATTATTTCCATTACGAAATTGGTAACCTCTCATGTGACAATATCAATGATACTTTTACTGTATGCGTTGAAGATATCTTGTATTCGCAACAAGAGAAATTCTAAAATTTCATCAATATCTCTAAGATAAATCATTATTTTTCATGTGCGTTGCTTTCTCTCTAAAATGCCGATTCGTGTATATTCAATACTGAAATTCACTTGCATTGGTCCCTTATCTACGCGCGTAAAGAGAGTAGCGTAAAGATGCGAGGCAAAACTTTTTATTCTGTTTCTAAGCTGCAAGTGCCTTAAGCAACTGCTTTTGCCTCTGCGGAATTTTTTTTTTATTTCAAGAAATTATAATTTCGTAGTTCAATATTTTATCGGGTTTCATAAAAATTTGTCTAATCATTGCTTATTCTTTTGCATCTTCGGTTCCCTTTACAAACTTTACAGCCACAGGTGAGAGAGAAAATTCCATCAATTTTCTAATCAATTAACTCAGTGATTACAACCGTCGATTTTCTTTTCTGCAAAAGGGTTTGCAAATAATTTTGTTTTCTATTGTCGAATAATTTTTTGGTGTTATTTTCACGCACTGCGCGTAAATGCAAATTTTATCTTTCATTTGTAATAATATCTATCGATGTTTGGCTTCGCTACTCAAGAGAAACATTATCAATAAATCAAATCCATAACTACGCTTGTGAGGTCCTGCTTACCATGTAGATATTAGTAACTTACATATTTATCAGACTTAATGCAGAGATCACTTGCACGTTCGCTGAGGTTGCAGAAAAGCTACTTCAACTTTCGATATAAAACATATTAAAACAAGTATTCGCCCAAGAGAACTTCTGGTATTTCTATTTATTTAACATGCCAATACTTGTTTAGGTACATGTATATGTATCCTTTATATAGTGTGCTGCAAATGTACATGAAAAACGTTTATTGTTTTCTGTTTTCTAAGTTAAACTACCTTTACTAAAATTGTTTACTTTATTCTGAAGATATAATTATTACAAGAAATACTAATCTCGTAATTTAATAATACTTTATCCTTTGTGCCTTGCAAATATGTTTAGTGATTGCTTAATCTTTTTCCAGCTGGCCCCTTCACAAACGTTACGTCAACAGGTGAGAGAGAAATTTTTTATTTTGAAATTAAATAACTTTTAAACCGTTAGAAATGGCGTGCTTACAACAGAAATTATCGTATTCATCAATATCTTTATTATAAATCGCTATTTCTCATGCTCGTAACCTTGATTTTGACGTACCAATACTTGCCTAAATACATGTATATTCAATAAGTGTTTCCATCTGTACCCTTAACAAAGGGCACTGTGAAAGTGCCAGACAAACTCGTGTCTTTTGTCCTCTTTTCTCAGATGAAGCTACCCTCACCACAGCTGTTTGCTTCTTGCCAAAGCTATGGTCTCTTAAAGAACTTCTTATCTCGTGATTTAACTTGTTGTTTCCTTTGTACTATGCAAATATCTCTGATGATTGCTTTCTCTTTTCCATCCCTTTGTAAGCATTACGGTCACAGGGGAGAAGCAATTCAAATCAATTAAAATTTTAATTGTTAAAATCGTCGTTTTTCAATTTTACTTGAAAAATTGTCGCGCTTTGTGTTTAGAAGATAGCTTCCATTATTGGATCATGCCTCTACCGGTTTCCAACTCAAGATAAAAGAGGCTATTAATATTAAGAAAAAAACAACCACCATTGAATCAACAATTACACCATGTAAATCTAAAACTATCCTTCACGTTTTATCTCTTTCCTTGTTGTCACCATTTATCAAAATTAGCATTGTTCTACTTACTACATAAATTCAACTCCAACGCTTTGTACATTAATTAACTGAAGATGACAGAAGTTTCTGTCGAAACATGTATTATAGACTTAAAAGTTTTGTCGCTTTCTTTAAATACTTGAAGCAACTTTTAACGAAAGCGTTTGTTAATAATCTCATCTTTTTTGTGTTGTTTAATTCATTTTTAATGCCTAAACATTTATTATTCCTTTCCAGCTGTTCCCTTAACAAGCAGTGCGGCATCAGGTGAGAGGGAATTTCCTTTACTTTCAAAGTCTCTAACTTTGCAATTGTACCCGAAACAAGATTTTCCAAAGGACTTGTGATATGAGTTTAGCTCTCTGCTGATTAGTTCAATTGGTCCACCCTACCTTTTACAAAAACCTGCGACACGCGCAGCGAAGTAACGGAAAAGTTGATGATTGTTATTTTTCTCAGTATCAAAGTATGGTATGGTTTGAAGACAACAATCTATGACCAGTGTTTTTGCGAGCGATCTAGGAAAACGGGGTCTGACAAAGGAAAATAAAGGCTAACCAATAAACTTCACAGAAATAATGTGGAACATAAAATATCTGAGCAAACCCTGGAGGGTAATTGTTCTTGTGAAGTTCAACTTTTCAGCTAAATCAGCATTAGAATTAACTCAGGAATGCAAACCTTATGTATTCTTCTTTCTTTCCACGTTTAGGCGAGTTTGTTTAAATGTAACACGATACTGCCCACACATAGATTAGTCTAGAACTGCTATGTGAATATTTGTTATGTATGACGTTGAATATTTATCCACGAGTGTCATGACAATAAGAGTTTTTCTTCGGCATTAAGAGTGGAAGAAGTGAACAGGAGTGGTCAAGTTTGGCCAAAAAATACTTTTCTGATGATCAAGAGATTCTCTTGGGTGAGATTAAAAAGTTGCTGCGGTCCAAGATAAAGTTGAAATTCACTCCAAAGACCAATCTTTGAGAAAAAAAAAAGATAAATATTATAACAGAAAGATTCAGGGTTTCTCCATCACCCTTCTGAATGTACGTAGGATAAGGGCCTCTATAAAGCGTTGTATTATTGTAGCCATGTAATGGTTAGTATGGCTAGCTATGAATGTTTGCACACGTGTTGGTTTTTCTCAAGGTGCAGATCAAAGTGACGATCGGAAAAAGCAAACTATGCTTCACGCCATTTACTCGATAACAATATTTCTACTTTTGGTGATTATCATTGTGTTGGTGTTTGTCATTTGGAGAGGGAAGAATAGGCAAGGTGAGATACCTGATCTAATTTTCTCTTTTACTTCTGCCGTAATCCCTAATTGTCAGTATGAAAGCCAATCGTAAGAAAGTGTTGGAAAATTATTCAAAAATTAAAGTTGACAGGGGAAGTCCACCCTGCTTTCTAGTTTCCGACCAGTGGCAAAATCTGCTCTGAAGATTACGATAAAAAATATTTTGGGTCGCGCTCTCGGCATTTCTGCAAATTGCGTCATTGTAGAAGGAATAAAGACTTTCAATACAGCAGTCAAACACTGTGCATCCGCAAGAGTCTGAAAATGCTATGGTGGACGTCCAAACGCGTGTCTATCGTAAAGTGAGGAAGAAAAGGTTAAATTTGTAACTCAATACGTAAAACAAGTGAAAAAAGTATTTGGAGAAAGTTCTAATCTTGTTATCTTGTTCTTGTTTCATTGTGAAAAATCCCAACTGTTTTGAGCGCGGACGCTTCGTTTTGGGGCGGGAGGCATAGGACAGAACCTCTCTCTACCTTTGCAGTTCTTCCTAGTCTACTGTCCGCGATAAACGTAGGTCGTTTATCGTCGCGAATATCTTGTGTGGTTCTGTTTCTTCCTTTTTTCACTCATTTCCCCGGTGTTTACCAGTACACCGTGAACACGACAAACAACAACTACTGCAGCACGGCCGAGCTTTTGGGCGAATTTATCACTCCACCGTGCTAAGTGTTTAAAAAGTGTGCGAGTGTGAACCAGCTCAAAGTGCTGGAGAAAGTCTGGAAACACAACGCATTTAAGTCTTGGCCCTAGGAACTTCGAAATTTCCTTGTAAACTGCATAAATATACGTCGCACTCGATATAAAAGCCGTGTTGATAGCCACTGTTTGACCGCAGTGATCAGATATTTTCGGTTTCCACCTTGAGAGAAATTTTTTCTTTTCTTTTTTTTTTTTTGAGACTTTCAGCCTAGGAGAGTGACGCTGCCGTTGATCAACCATGATTCTTAAAAGCTAGGCTATTTTAAAGTTACCTTTTTTGGTAGAATAAACCTGCAATGTTAGCTACGGAAACCATGTAGAACCACATCAAAGAGCGTCCTCCGAATGGTTCCGACAAATTTCATTGAAGCAATTTTTTTATCTTAAGTTTCGTTTCTTTCCACGTTGTTTTGCCTTTTAGATCAATTTTTTCGTTGGCAGTAAAATAATACAGTCAACTCTCCGTTAACGGACACTCGTTTTGGATAAATTTTGAACACTGTACATTTGTTTCGTAGGTCCTTCGACTGAAAATGCGAGGTAGGTACAGGTAGTATTCTGTTTGTATCATGGTGTTTGTATTTTCGAGATACAGTCATATATTTGAAACATTTTACTGAGCATGCTTCCTAACGGAGAGAGCTCATTAGATAATTTTAAACAGCGCGGAAGGTTGGATTTGAGTAAAAAAGTTAACATTTTTGCGCAGAAATTTGAAATTGAATTGGTTTATTGTTTGTTGTGAACAAGAAGTAGAGAACAATACATGGTTGCTTGTAGATATGGAATTTCTTTTCTCGTGTTCAACTCGACATCTCACTCGTTCGCTGTACTCACTCGTGAGTTATCGGGTTAAACACTCGAAGAGAAATTCCATATCTATACGCGCCCATGCCGACTTCATTAATGAATGAAAATAAATGAATCGACAATCCCCGAATAACAATCGTAGAGTGCGTTGGCGCTAACTCGTAAGATGGAAAAATGCGTCGAATTAAGATCACGAAAACAACAATAGTCGTAATTTCCAATTTACAAAATTCTCATTCATTGACTTTGTTCTTACCGACAGAAGAAGTCTTTCATGTAAACGGCCAAAATCGGCCAGTGGCAAATCTTCCATTTGTCGATTTTCATTCTCAGCCGAGAGAAATACCAACACCAAAGCCACCGAATACGTAATTTTCGGTTTTTCTTTTAGTATATTGGTTTTTTTCTCCTTCTAGAAGTTTGAACCTCATTGTCTGTCAGCGATACGGATTTTTTCGCGAAAGCTCCGATAAACAACTTGTATTGAGAATCGTGAAGGCTTTGCCTTTCATTCATCAACCTGACCGAGTGACGCCAAAGGCAAGTGACGAGTCAGCAGCTGATTGGCTATATCAACACGTGAAAAAATACGATATTTTTTCACGTGTGTTGTTTCGGCTTTTCTCAGGGCCGGAAATCCCTCTATAACACCGCAGTTTATGTGATAAATCAGATTCTGCCATAAAGTTTTCAGGGAGCATGTGCAATATTTTCAGTATTTGAAAATGTATACTCTTAAATAAGGTGTGTTTCAATAGCACACCTTGTGAGTTCTCTAACACATCAAGGTGTGATGTGGTGACACACCTCTTCACTGTTTTATTTCACGGTTCAAGAAAACACACCAATGTGTGTAAAGAAACACAGGCGGTGTGTAACAATTACGCACCTTGAGATCAGTTTTGCAACACACCATAAATTAACGAGATGCAAATGTTCTTCAGTTTGAGAAATCTGCCAGAGCCATCATAACACAAAAAAAGGTGCGTTGCGGTAACATCTTCTGTTTGATGCGAAGCTCTTCCTTAGGATATGTTTTTACAGTGGAAATCGCTCACTCGACTTCTGTCAGTTCGAACTTCCTGGCTAACTCGAATTGAAAGTAATTTACATCGAGGTACATTTTTCACTTAGTTACTATCGATGGACTTGATTGCCTTGTTATCTCGCTTCGCGTTGTTTTCATTACGGCTAAAATTAATTTTTCAAGTTCGTTTGGGTTTTTTGGCCCTTTATTTTGATTTGCGCTGGGTATTATTATTTCTTCTAAGAAAAAAACGACTCCGCATCAAGTTCTACCACTATGCTGCCCATAGTTATATACACTATGTTCAATCTTTTTTTTTTTTTTTTCAGTTGCCGTTATCATCAGGTAAATGCTACGGATAATCAGGTAAATATGGAGAATACTCGATGGAAAGAGATGAAGTCTTCAAGGGATTTGTTGTTATCAGACTTCGTGATCACTTGTTGTCAAGTGTTTCGTTACAATCACCGCTGCATTTGGTTCTGGTTATTTGTTTTCACTTCGCTTTTAGGATCAAGGAAACCCAGTTCAAGCCAGTGAAGCATACGTGAATATCTCCGGAAACGAGGAAACGTTAGTTATTCAATCGTCGCCATCAAGAAACGCAGTACCAAGCAGAAGACATCAAATGAACTCTGAGTATATGTCCATTAAGAGAATAACAACAAAGTTCAAGAAATGGGAAGTAAAACGGGAAAATGTTCAAATCTCGAGAGTTATTGGAAAGGGTGCTTTCTGTCAGGTTGCTAAGGCAACCGTATCAGATATTAATGGAATAAAGGGAGCAACAACTGTGGCAGTTAAGATGCTGAAAGGTATGTTGCGGAGACAAGTAGTCAGTACCTATTTTTTAAATCGTGATTACTGGACAGATTATCAATAAATCAATAATTTTACTAGGAAAAAAGCGAACTTGGCCAAACATAAAAGGCAAAGTGGCTCTTTCTTATATTGGAATAGTTTGTTGAGTACTTCAAGAGTGGTATTCCCCGTTCGTATGAGAACATTTTGTTTGAGCACATAGTATTCTATGCAACTACAGCAAGTCTCAAACGTGAAAATGAATCAGTAGAAGAGACGTCATCTGGCTTAACTTTTATACACCACCTCACATGTTTATGTGTGATGGCAATTTTTTTAATTTTCTATATTTTTGGTAGAAAATGCCCCGGATAATGACAGGAAAGATCTGCTGTCAGAGCTGGATTTGATGAAGAAACTAAGGCCTCATCCTCATGTCATTAAACTGATGGGATGCGTCACTAAAACTGGTAAAATAGGAAGGATATTGGTAATACTTCATCGTTTGTTCAGTCAAATCTGAATTTTAATTAAGTTTCATGTTAAAACAAAGGGTTGTTTTGCAGATCCTTTGCTTGTTCTCATTGAATACATACCTTACGGTGATCTGTTGGGTTACCTAAGAAAGAGTCGCGGCCTAAATGACACATACTTTAAAGATCCGGATGTTAAACCTGAGACCAACCTGACTTCAGAACAACTGATGCAATTTTCCCTGCAGATTGCTGATGGAATGAACTTCCTTTCTGCTAACAAGGTATTCACGAAACGTGTGTCAGTGTAGCACCTTGTTTTCCATTCTGATAAAGTGTTAGGTCACAGCAAAAAGTTGCTCGGAAAGGTGGTTGGAAAGGTAGAGAGTGACCTCTCCGATGCTAATGAATCACAATCTCTCGGATTATGGCGAAATTACCTGGTTTATCACGTTTTAGAGCTGATTTATTGTGCACAATAATAACCCAGACGGGCATGTACATATTTCACTCCCCACTCCCCCCTCCCCCAGTCCAAAAAAAGGGAAAAACAACTTTTAAAGAAAATGTTATTCCTTTCGTCGTAAGAGTGAGACTGAGAATGAAATCCAATTCCTCTACACCATTGCATCTAATGTATGGAGTTAGATCGGAGCTGTATAGTTCGGATATCCTTTCCTCTGAACCCCTTCGTCATTTCGTCCGAAGTTTCTGTTTCACGTGCTATCTTCGTGGCGTGTTTAACGTCGCTTCTTGAGTCGCTCTACATTTCGTGGCGTCGAAAAGTAATTCGTATCGTAGCAGTCCCTGCTTGTAACCAGTGGTAAGCACGTTTTTAATCGTCATGTTGTGTATCGTCTCTTTCTGTGAAAATGTCCTTCAGCACGCTGAGTTCTTCAACTAACTTCGATTCTTTTTTTAAGAATGCCATTTCTAATGATACTCGAACGCTGGAAAGTGTGCTGTCTCGGTAACGACAGCCATGAAATTGATTATGCTTTGTACCAGGTGGATCATTTTCTAACGTTGTGCATTCAATGTTAAATCGTTTGGAAAGGTACTTACGTTGCTTGCATGATGTATTTTTGCCTTGAATATACTTGCAACTATCCTTGTTTCAAGATGGCTTTGACAACCTTCCTCTCAGATTTGAATCAAAACTTGACACCTGTTGAGAGGGGACAATGAAGTTCCAGAAATCCCATGCCCCTTGTTTAGAGAGTCGTTCAATCTTTTTTTAATCTCTAGTTAGCCCACTTGATCAATCTGATTTTCATGGAACAGACCTTTATATCAAAGTTGTAGAGATTATCCATGGCTTGGTTTTACAAGATCGAGTAAAATAACAGAATTTCTGCTCGCTGACAAGAGTTCGAACTGTAAGAGTTATTAAGCAAGAAAACAGAAAACATTTTGGAGATAAAATAATGCAAGCAACTAATTAAGCTATGTGTATTCACTAGTGAGGATAAAAGGTGGAATGAATATGTGAAATTGTAAAATTTATAACTAGTATAGTATCACAACCTTGCTGAACAGAACGAAATAAAAGTAACAATGTAACTAGTTTCATTAATAGTTAACTGTTCTAGAATTCTCCACAATGCATGCTTGGTGGGGTCCAAAATCTACATAGCCTCTGAAACTGGTTTAATTTCAACAATCAGGCCGATGAATATATATATATTTTTTCATCGTATGTGAGAAGAGATCGTTGTGGTGGTCTCTAAATATTAATTTCATTACTTGAAAAATACAGCAGTGATGTGTACCTCCTATTCACAGGTCAAGAACACGCAAAATTTGAACAACAAACAAGGCAGTTTTAAAGCCTTCTGTAACATTAATGAAACAAAGCCTAGGCATTACCAAACCAAAACACTCCTTTACCATTAAGATACGAGCCTCGGTCATTGATGCAAGGGAGTTGATATGATGAGGTAAACCCAAATGCAAGTCACAAGTTAAAGCGCTTGGCCGACATCTGCAGTTTTTTGGATATCCAAAAACAAAGTGGAAGCCAAGGGCTGGCTTTTGCTGACAACCGGTGATGAATTTCAAGATATCCTTAATGGAAAGTTAGAAGTTGACATAAAGGAATTTCTGAATATACAGTATGAACTGTACATTAAGATTTTCTTAAGTTGAGTTGCGTTACACTGCAATTGAAAAAAAGCCTTATGCTCAAGCCAGAAGTTGTTTTTAGAATCATTTTGTTGATTCACACAAATACTCAAAAGAGGAAAGCAAAAAGGCATTCTTCAATTAACGTTAGCTGAATGAGAACTCAGAGTGCTGAATGAAATTTTCCCAGAAAGAGACGATATATAACGCACGATTAAAAACGTGCTTACCGTTGACTGTTACGGCACGCATTACGTTTGACGACACGAAATGTGGAGTGACTTAAGAAGTGACGATAGCACGTGAAACAGAAAATTCTTCCGACGATATGACGAGGGGTTTGAAGGACAGGAAATGAGAAATATATAGCTCCACGTTGTATGACTCGACGATACGAACAAAGGATACCAAATTATGACCTCGATCTGACTCCACGCTGGCAAACTACCGAGAGAGCTCTTTGGTGAACAAGTTAAGTTCATTTATGACAGCGTTCCGCATACTATTAGGATCAGTCATGTTAAAAGTGTCGTGTGAAAGTAAATTTAATGGGAAAGATGGTAAATTTCCAGCTCTACCGTCGACTAGAGAAAGTCTTTTGTTTTTGACAATTGGATGACCGAACTCAGAACTTACCGATTTTCCTGTTCTGAATGGCTCCATTTTTTAAATTACATTACATCCATGTGTCAGATCATCCACCGTGACTTAGCGGCCAGAAATGTTCTTGTTGGTGAAGGAGAGAAGTGTAAGGTGACAGATTTTGGAATGGCGAGGAATGTTAACCAGGATGATATCTACAACAAAACAAGTCGGGTAGGAAACTGAGTTATTCCCTTTTCTCTTTTAACTCGCCTCCATTTTGAAGAGTGTTTTTCGCTCTTACATTAATCTGTACTTAGGATGTCGTACTTTGCAAAGTTCACCAATTCTTGTCTGAATGAAGGAAGAAATCGATGTGAATTTAATATTTCCGTTGCGTAATTTGAACAGGGCCGTCTGCCAGTAAAATGGACCGCTTATGAGGGTTTAGTTTATGGAAAATACACAACACAAAGTGATGTGTAAGTATTCCCCCCTTTAAGATACTCTAAACATAGCCATCTGGGTATGACTCAACTCCAGGTCCGGATTTTGGTCATTCTTATTTCTAAGAAGTCCTACAATGCACGCAGATTCAAATATCTTTTTATTTTCACTTCCACTTTCATTTTGTCACAAAGATTTCGCTAAGGTGAAGTTAAGATTAGCAGTTAGGTTTGACTCGAGCAAACGTCCACCACAAACGGGATCACAAAGATTTTATGCTGTATTCCGAAAGGAAATGAGCTCAAAGTTACCGGTATCCCTTTAACCATCGCAAGCATACTTCTTACTAGCTTAGTTCTTCTTCCTGTTTAGCTTCCCAGATAATGCGTTTTTTGGTCGTCATTTGAATCTCCTGCTTTTTAAGAAATGATTATGGAGACTATCTAGCGGCCTTAAAGGATGCTGGCAAATAAGATTGACGAAAATCAGTTGATGTTGAAACTCGTGTCGTTTGAGAACTTATCTCAGCAGGGAGCTTGAATTTTCTGCGTAGTAACAAAAAGCTATACTTTGCTGGAACTCAAGTTGATAGCCAAGCTGGTTGCTCATTCTTGAACCATGTTTAAACAATAATGTATAAAGACTTAACCTCTTTCTTATATTGATTTATTCATATTTATTTTTAAAGACTTCAGGCTACGTGCATAATCCCATCATAGATCTTGGCCGATGATGTCGGGGCCACTGATTAAAATAAATCTATTTTCCAAGCAGCGAGAAAGTTAAAATCGCGAATTATCATGTTTTACTTGACTCAGATCGCTTCGCTGCCTCATGCACTTCATTGGTTTTTCCTTTTCTGTCATTTGCAGGTGGAGTTTCGGTGTTGTTCTGTACGAAATATTTACTGTAGGTAAGTCTGAACAGTTTTAATAGTTAAAACAAAGCACTATTTTGTATGGACTGGGGAAGAAGGGACAGAATTGCCGCAGTTTTTAAGTAAGTTTTGACGAGGATGATATAGTGAGGTTTGTGCTAAGACAATGAGTCCTGGAATATCAAGAAAGTTACGTGTGTGAATATTATTCTTGCCTCATTACTTCAGTTTAAGCGTTCATTTTATGTCCATAGGTGGATCTCCTTACCCCGCGATTAACGCTCGCGAAATTGCAGAGAAACTTCAGCAAGGATACAGAATGCCAAAACCTAAACATGTTGATGAACAGCTGTAAGTGTTCTGCTGCTGTTGTTTTTTAATCCTTGTTACCACAAATAGCAATAAGAGGTATAAGTGTTTAAAGTCCTGTTATTAATTTATGACCGCGTTCAGCTGAATCAGCATGTTTTGGTATGACTTATGCCATCATCCGTACCATTAAAGTAAGTTAACCGGAAACGAGACATGCGCGGGCGCAAATATAACATTTGGAAGTTTTGGTGTTTGATGGTTTGGTATTTAGGTTTGGTACTGTAATTTCTAACATTGTCATTTGAATGAAATTGATATCGTAATTTTTAATGTAACTTGTGAAAACTAAGTAAACGGATATGACACAATGGACTAATGATGGCACGAGTCACGCCGAAACATTCTTCAAAAATGTTTAATCGAAAGTTTGAAATTTGTTTTATTTGACCAAGTAGGCTTTGAAAATGCCAATGCCTGAAAATGGGTTAGTACCTTGTGCAGCGAAAAGTCATAGATGTCTGTGTTTATACAGCAAAATCGCGAGATCTCAAGATATAACCAAATCCGAAAACTAAGTCCCGGAGCTATGATTCATAATGGTAATTGCACTGAGTGGAGTGCAATTTGGGCTGAAATCATACGCGTGATTTCAAAATCGAACGAGCGCTCAGCGCGAGTTCGATATGAAATCACAAGTATGATTTCAGACCAAAATTGCACGACACGAGGTTCAATTACCACTTTATTACATCCATTTTGAAATCGCCCAAATACAGGACTTGGTCAGTTCAAATGTTTTATTGATGCCGTACTGAGCCGGTCTGAAATTAAATTCATGTCCATTTTTTGGGGGGAAAAAGTAAGAGTTGAGAAACAAAAGTTGCAAAATTTGCCACATGATACTCTTTGTCTTTCATTTTACTGCTATTTGATCGGTTACTTTAAAAATCTGATTGGTTGTTCTGTTTTTAATGTAGCCTCCTCACTGGCTGGAAAAAGATGCGATTTAAAGCAAAAAATGGGGCGATTCGTGAATAAATCGCATCAATTAGAGCCAATCAGATTACAGGGACCATCAGTCATTTCAAAATGGTTGTAATAATTAATATTATTGTGGATGTTATATTTATCACTTGTCTTTAGTTACCAGATTATGGCCCAGTGCTGGCAGGAAAATCCAAACGACAGACCGACATTCCCTTCACTTAAAGACATTATCACTCGTATGTCTAAAAACAAAAATGTAAGTGAAAAATTGCGTTTTTCTATGGCTGAAGTAGTAAATTATTGGGTAGCACTATCATTTAAATGTATATGTTTCGAAAGCCTGTGTATGTTTCTACTTAGATATCTTAGGATTTACACCAAAGAGATACATGTTGCATATGGTAGTCACGAAATCTGGGCGATAATTCAAAAGGAAATTAACAGCTCGCATATTTCCCGCTTGTGACCCTCCCCTTATCTAATAAGCCCCGTCAAGGTGCTCTATTTGAATTGTGCGGAATTAATCTTCTTCTCTAAAACGGGTGACTTGTTACATTTATTATTATAAGTATTATCATTGTTGTTGTTGTTATTATTATTATTTTTATTATTGTTATTATTACTAGTATAGGTAATCACATGACTGCAATTTTGAATAAATAAGCATGGGTGAATTTTTTCAAAGACTAACAAAATTGCACGAGCCCGTAGGGTTCGTGCAATTTGTGGTCTCTGAAAAAATTTACAGGTGTTTATTTATTCAAAATTGCACGAGAAAAATTATGTGATTACATATTCATTCATCATATACGTGAAAAAATACAAGATAGCGTATCATAATTATGCATAAGCAAAGCACGCGCATCAAATGCAAAAATAATTTACACTCGATTGCAAAAACGTTGACGCCTAATAAGCTTGATTCACGAACGACAAGACCCAACACCTTTATGGGAAATGTTCGCACAGATACATAATCAGTGATTTACTTCTCTCATTATTCATGGAAAAATCTTTTCTCATGATAAAACGTTTTCTTATGGTTATCATCTACATTTGACCCCTAAAACTGCTGAGTCTCATCGTTCATTATAAACGCTTGTTGCGTGTCAACGTTTTTGCAATCGAGTGTATTCAAACCTTGCGAGTGACTTTGTGAGTTCAGTCAAAACAACCGCGTACGATCAAAACAATAATATACAATGATATTTTCACATCTTTCGGGCGCAAAAACGTTCTAAGTCCCGCTACAAACCGTTGTAAACAGTTCAAGTAATTGTTCAGTCTGGTTTGTTACTTCTTTGCACTGTATTAACCTTCTTCTGCATTGAAATACCTGAAAACTGCATTTATCTTAACCGATCGGAACTTAGTAATTTCTCGATGCATCGTATTAGTATTAGTATTATCATCATCATCATCATTATCATCATCATTACCATAATTTTTTATAATTTTACATCCTCTTCCATATGGCAAACTTAGAACCATATTGACACACACTAATGTCAACGTATTTTTCTTTCTTTTTCGTATTCAGGACACCTATATCAACATGAGAGAGTATGATACCAACCTTTATGCGAATGTCGATGACCTACCTATGGAATGAACGAAGACAATTAATTACAACGTAAGGGGCAGGGTATTAGTTCGAAATATTCTTAGCAGTCTCTAGAGTATGGTTTCAGGTGCTTTGTCAGCCTTGCTTCAGTCTGGTTTTGAAGTTGACTCATCTTTAATGAACGTTCGTTGTGCACTTGTTTTTGTTTGTTTCCTTAGATCTAGTCTCAAAATACCAAATTATTCCTTGATAGGTTTTGGCAGTTTTTTAAACAAGACTTCAAACTCTTAAATAAACTTTTGTCTGCTGGTAAATCTTAAGGAGTTTGTTGACCTCTATTTTTCATCCTTGAATGGCAGTCAGCATATCAAGATAAATCATTCTACAAATTTTTAAAAGACATTTTAGAGCCCGATCAAGTTTTTTATAATTTAGGATGGATTTTAACGTTAATTACAAACATTTTTGAACCTAGAATTATAATTAGGTAAAAGTCTTTTAATGGTATGAATCATAAATTTCATATTTTAGAAATATGCGGTCAGTTTTTTTTCACTGATTAGATACACGATCCTACAAGCATATAGTATCGAGACTATCAACTTTAAATAAATATTATGATGATATTGTTTGTGGTCTGTGATCTGCTCGAGAACAGATGCAACATGGAAACTATTTGCTATCCACTAAAATTAGAACGTTTACCGCATTAACCTGGAACAGAATTTTTTCAGGAGAAATGTACTTACATTAAGGAACGACCAGGCAAATGATTAATGGTTTTCGGGCGGGTTGAATGGCTTAAACGGAAGAGATAGGCGAAGTACTATTCACCTCCGAGCAGTCAAAGAGGAACAAAGTAACCGTTTCAAAGAAAGCATTTCATGAAATGAGGGTGTTGTTCATGATTAAGAGTGTGAAATCAAACTTACCGTAAATTATATTTGTTTGATGTTCTGAAATAATAACTTTCACACTCACACATTACTAATCTTAACTACTCGGCATCACAAGAATAGAAATCGTTATCTCATGGGTTCACCTCCCTTATAGGACTGACTTTTTCAGGATTTAGTTTCACTACTGCTTAAGGTAGTGTTCATTACTGCTAAGATCGCTCTCTTCTTTTTTTTCTATTTTTTGATAATCCGTTTTTTAAACATATTATGTTTAAACATATGTTATTCATTAACACGTCACTTCACGGGTTTATCACAAACCATCAAAACTAACAGCTCCCAGTTGGCTTGTTCGCTAAGTTGGAAGAGCACTGCACCGATAGCGCAGTAAATATGCTAAATAGAACGTGATTCAGTTATAATGTACGGGTATATGGGTGGGTGATAAATGCAGTGTAATGATATTGGCTGAGTTCATTTTGAGGTCCATAAAATCGTAAAAAAAAAGGAACGAGACTAATATCCAGCCATGTTGACCGATTAACAAATAAAGAGGCCTTGACTGTGTTGTGTTCTGTTGCGTTGTAAAGCACTCAGGAAGAGGCTAGAGCACGAAATAAGAGTATGGGGAAACACGATACGTAATCGAATGTTTCTCCCTATCCTTTGAGGGATTCTTTCTTTGTTTTACAATAAATAATCCGTCAAATTCCCTCACTTTTTTTTTTCTGTTTTCAAAACATATAATTTTTGAAGCGAACAAAAGTGTTGTCAGCATATTTTATACTCTCATAGAACACGCTAAAATGATCCAATTGAAAGTTTTTTAGAATGGTTCAAATAATCTGATATGTTGAAAAAAACTAAAACTGTCAAAAATGTCAACGCATACACAATCTGAAATAGTTTGGCAGGTGGAATTCAACACCAGTCGAATTCACAGGAACATGATGAGCTAACCGCGATGGACCACAGTATGATCATAGTCGCCCTGACATTCTTAATAAGTATAAATTTTAAACGGTAATGCCAGTTTTTCAATTTTTCAATTATGGCACTTGGCGTGTTTGCAAACGTTTGTTACTCATGTGCCAAGTTGGCATTGTTCCCCTTCGTAATTGACATGCACCAAAAAGAGTGGCCTAGAGACCGATAATCAAAAGTTATTCGCTCCTGTGAAAAGATGTTCGCTCGAAATGTTAGCTATAGAACTGGTAATTGGAGGTCTGTAACCCTTGTCTTAAACAGTTGGAATGCCTTTTGTTTATGGAAATCTATTGAATCCTGTTTGTCTTGCTTAGCTTTATTCCGTTTGATGCATCATCCCCTGGATTTTTACCTCCATTAACATAACTCCATTCTGAAACGGACCTTCCATTACGGATGATAGTGAGGCAGTTTGATTCAGAGGCGTGAAAGCCTTTTAATCATTCTTTATACTCTTCAGTACTAAGTCAGAGTCCGTCCAGTTATTCAGCCCATTGCTCTCAATCTTGAGCTCTGAATTAGACGACTCAACTTCACTGAAATCGGAGATGTATGACTGATCATGTCACATGCAGCATGCATTTGAGATGATTTGTGGCTGTTTATTCCTTACTGCTCAAAGTGTTTCGGTTTAAGGGAATTTTACTTTTTCGACGAATTTGGTCGAGGTCTGTATTAATGACAATCAGCCCTGTATGCTTTTTGGAATATCTTCATCTTGACAGACATACATACATACAGGTTATTAACGTGAGTTCACTCTTAGCTAAATAGCTAGTTTACAAGCAAGCTCACAAATTAAATACGTACAGGCGGGAGAGGTCGATTTGACTAATTATGGTTTCAAAATACTTGTAGCTAGTGACTGCTCGCAGATTGAGTGGTAACGTGTTCCATAATTGCGCTGCCTTATAACGTCAGGAGCGTTGTTCATATGTGGTGCCATTTACTTTCGGTAAAGTAAGAATATTTATACCTCTGAGATTGTAGCTCGATTTTCTCCAGTCATTCAAACCTAACAGACTTCCAGGGACTTCGTTCTAATCTTCATTACTAATCCAATTAACTGTTTTGCAAAGGGTACTTGAATAGTCTTTGACTTGCGGAGTTTTTTTGTCCGCCTTCGCCTAACAAGGTCTGGTATGAAGAGCTGTGACCACGCCAAGCAAACCGAGAGATAGAGATTACTTGTTTAATTTCTCAAGTTAGTTTTTCAAGTTCTTTCTGTTGCTCGCTCACTGCAAAAGTGCCAAGACTCTGAGAAGTAATTGAAGTGTGGCATAATAAATGCTTCATAAAGTCTCTTACGAGCGTGAAAAGAAAACATCTTCATCCCATTTACTTCGCTAGTCTGTTAACCAACTATGCGGCATATTTGAGCGATATGGCTCCCAACCTTTATCTTGTTATCGGCTTTTACGCCCAATGTGATCAATGTGTTCTTCTGCCCCGTCCTCTATGGTCTTTCCTAAAACTATTGCCTTGTATTTCTCTTCGATTCTTTTCGCCTTATTTCCCGGGTGCCATCTTTCGCATGGCTTCCTGAATTTCTGTTTTTATCTACTTCGACCCAGGTGTATTGCGCTTTTTGTATTTACTGATGGAGACATGTTCGTCGAGAACTTGGTTACATGAGCTTTCTCTACAGTAGACTTCATCAGGATCTTCAAATATATGATACTGAAAAGGGATGCAAGCTCAGATCATTCAAGAATAGCTCCAGGTTAAACTGTTTGAATGGTTGTTTGGTGACGATTTCTGGCCCCTGACACCTACGTTCTCCTTTTCTGCGTGCACAATGTTTAACATTTTTAGTTAGCTTCTGTTTTGGCGTTCAACTTCCTCATTGACTTGGGGCCTCAAAGTTGTGGAGGTTCATTGCTGTAAGCAGCTTAATTTTTAAATATTTTCAAATTCCTCGGACGTGAATTGTGGCCCATTATCTGTTATTAGCGACCGTGGGAGACTATGCGTATAAAATATTCTCTCAAGACTTTTCATAATGTCAGCAGGTGGTATAGACTTGAGTATGTCTTCTTCAAATTAGTGGCTATAGTAGAGGGTTGTCCAATAAACAAATCGATTCCTTCGGAGAATATATGCAATTGGCTGGTTGGCTGGCTGCAGGTCCTCAGCAGGAATTCCAGACTGCATGTCGTCCGACCTAAATTTCCAACTTTTACAGTCAAAGATGAAGCATGACTGTCTCGGTTTAGTTACATTTCCCAGCTGTTGTTCTTCTTGTGGTGCAAGCCGAAAATTCAGCTGCTTACACACATCTAGGTCTCCTTGCTTGAGTCTTCTATACGTTAAAGGAACCGCCGTTCTTAGCACTAAACCCGCTTTTCTGGCCGATTGTTCAAATTGGTCCCTCTGGCATTCAATACACTGGCCGACAACGTGCTTCAGTCCCAGCTTGCAGTAATTTTTCTATAGCTCTTATCAAGTTTTCTTCCTTATTCAACTTTTGCCGAGGTCTCAGTTGCCAGTTGCTACCTTCCTTCCTTCTTTTTCAACTTAATCGAAAGCTTCGACTCATTCGAAAGCTGTTGCTGCGGAAATCTTTGATCGACTGTGTGGAATAAAACACTTTGGAAAGCCTCAAACCTGGTTTTCCTTTCAACAATATGAAAGAAAGATCCAGGTTTACTTTCCGTTCTAGTTTCTCATGGTAACTCCAATGAAATCTCTCTGTTTTGCATCAGTATCATCATCTACATCAGATAACTTATCATGAATGTCTTCAAACCTGAACGATTCGGCTAGACTCGGTAAGGTCAGAACTTCTCCGAAAAAATTGATCAGGAAACAAGCTGATAAAGTGCCTTTCCGTGCTTTAGGATTTGGGGTCATTTTCCGCCATTCCACCATCCCGCCATCCCGCCATCCCGCCATCCCGCCATCCCGCCATCCCGCCATCCCGCCATCCCGCCATCCCGCCATCCCGCCATCCCGCCATCCCGCCATCCCGCCATCCCGCCATCCCGCCATCCCGCCATCCCGCCATCCCGCCATCCCGCCATCCCGCCATCCCGCCATCCCGCCATCCCGCCATCCCGCCATCCCGCCATCCCGCCATCCCGCCATCCCGCCATCCCGCCATCCCGCCATTCCGCCATTCTGCCATTCCACCATTCCACCACTCCGTCGTTCCGTCGTTCCGCCGTTCCGCCGTTCCACCGTTCCAGCTTTTAGGGTCGCCCATTTGGTGTACAGCCTCCTTCGAAAAATCTTTAATCTTTAGGTTCAGACCGTGTCAGCGAGGAAATTATACAACGAAAATAATGTCTAATTATCTAATCTGTTCACCTTAGAGTGGTGATTTGCAAATTATTGATGTTTGAGTATAAAATGCCTTGTAATTCCTCTCTTCCACTACTGGCTGACTTATTAGCATCCCTTTTATCCATTTAAGATGGCGGCATTAATCTTTGTAGTAATGATTGAAAAAAATTTCTTTTCATAGCTCTGCTCTTCATTCAGCATTCAGTAAAGAGTTTTCCTTGACTGAGTTACAAGGATGTTTGAGTTACAAGTAAAGCAGACTTTTGAATTGTAATAAATTAGCTGACAAACCTGTGGGAACTAGTAGACTTGATGCTCTTCTTTTAAGGCAAAGTACATCTAACTTAAAATTAAATTTAGATACTTGGATTTCAATTTTTGGTTTCTTACATTTGATAGTTAAGTAAAACATGAGAAGAGATACTGTTTTTAACTGCCACAATAGGATACTTATACACTTTCATTACTTCCAAAGCAGGGTCACGTGGAATGAATCTTAGAGTTTTGTGATTTGATTTTTCTCCTGTCCAGCTCTATTCATGTCTGATGACATTCAGAGATCAGATCCCAATAGCCATAGAAATTTGTAAATTTTACCCATCTAATTGGAGAAGTGCTGTGAGCCTAAAACTATATACTCATATGAGCAGATGAGATCAAGGCTTTCTCACACTGAGTGAACATTTAAATTGTACGTTTTAGCATTTTTAGCATTTAATATAGCTGTTGTTTTTAATTGTTTGAGATTTCTTCTGTCTACACAAAAAATCCTGGAAAACAACTGTACACAGTGGGTCTTGTTGATTTAAGGTAAGTGTCAAGATTCATAGGAGTGCTCAGTGTAGGCATTTGTGAAAAAATGTTTTGATAAAAGGAAATGGTCCTCTGCTGTTATTTCAGGATTTAGTTACAGTATAGAGGTGATCGACATGTATTCAAACATTTTTAGGTATCCATCATGTTTAGTTTTTGAAAAATTAATATTCAGTAGAGTGACGTTCATGGACAAGATCAATAAGTATTAACCATTTGCTGTTATGCAAAAAACTTTGAACAGTGAGTTTTTTCCTAGGTATAGCTCTGGTAGTGTTGTTGCTAAAGTAGAGCTCAAGTTTGAAAGATCTGTTCTTGATCCTTTGAAACCACTCGAAGATGAAATCAAAGATGGAAAGCTTGGGTCATTCACAGTGAGCCGTGAACTTGATTTGAATCCAAGTAAGGCCTGTGCTACCTGACAACTAGATTGTATTTTGCCGTTTGTGGGAAATTACAAACTTACTTCATAACCCTGTACTGTTTGTAGATGACCTATTGTCAAAACTAGGGGTTTTTTCAAGCTAAATGGGTTACACATATTCAAGTGTATAAAGGATGTTTTTTTATATTACTCGCATGGATGCACATATTTTCTTTGAGTGTTGATAATATCTTTTGCATGCTCGGCTTGCTCGCTTGTGAGAGACGTTATTATCACGAGAACTTTAATTATGATAAAACAAAAGCACATATGATTTTCTGTTTACAATTTTAAAGCGCGTATATTAGCTTAGTTAAGATCTCTCCTCTTCGTGCCTCTATGTGTCTCTACTAGGGTAAGTGGTTTGGCCAATATGTCCAAGTATTCGTCTGCCACAGGGATTTCATCTATTTCCAATGGTTCACATCTATTCAGGGGGTTATCAAAGTGCTCCTTCCACTAACAAGATGGCGTTTCTCTTCTGGTATTTCACTAACACGTCATTGTTGCTAAATCCGTCGTTGGACTTTTGCTGATACTGACATCAGCTTTCTAGTTGCATTCTGGTCTTAAGCAGTTTGACCAAGAAAATGGCGATGGCCATGTAAACGTGTGATTGTTCTTGCGGTGAAAAAGGGCGCCTGCTACTTCTAGGTTTGATCTCTTCATAAAAGTCATCCAGTCCTTCCCCATTGTTATTCATTGTTCTTACACCGTGTTCCCCGATCCCGGGTCTCTGCCTGTGTTGTCTTCTTGTCTGTCGTTCAGGTCACAAACAATTAAAAGCATGTCATATGTTGGCACTTCTTCTGTTGCTGCCCGAAAGTGTTCATAGTAGGGGGTCTTCTTTTTCTATACCTCGCTTTCAGTTTGGTGTACTTTGAGTTGTAGCGAGCATTATGCAATCTTGGTCATGTTTGCTGGCATTCAATGAGTGTTTTTCTACTTTCCTACTTATGATCATGGCGACTGCTTTCGTGTGCCAGTCATCTTCTCTGCCCAAATAGAGTATGATGTGGCCTAAAATTAATTTCCCTTTCCCTGTTCTTCTCCATCAGGCTTCACTTATTTCAAGGATATCTATGTCGTAGTTTTCAGCCTCTTGCCCTCCTCCATCCAGGCTTGGGACCGGCCAAGGCTGAGTTAATGTCGTTATCAGTGACCCACATTTATGTCTGACTGAAATTCACCTGCATAGTCACTGAGGTTACATTAGAGCTACTCTGACCTCTGGAACAATAAATTTAACAAGGTGTCTTGCGAAAACTATTCTTCCAAAGAAAAATTGAGTTCAATCTTGGTGATGTTCTTAGAAAAAAATGTTGAAAAGTTATCATGATTATTACCATGACGAAATTGGTAGCCTCCTATGTAACAATATCAATGATACTTTTCCTACAAGCGGTGAAGATATCTTGTTTTCGCAACAAGTGAAATTCTCATATTCTAAGATAAATCATAATTTTTCATGTGCGTTACTTTCCCTTCAAAATGCTAATTCGTGTATATTCAATACTTTTTCAATATAATTTTTTTTTGTTTCACGAAATTATAATCTCGTAGTTCAATATTTTATTGGGTTTCATACAAATATGTCTAATTATTGCTTACTCTTTTGCAGCTTCGGTTCCCTTTACAAACTTCTCAGCCACAGGTGAGAGACAAAACCCCATTTATTTTCTAATCAATTAACTCAGTGATTATAACCGTCGATTTTCTATTTTTCTTGACATACCTTTTTCGAAAAGGGTTTGCAAATAATTTTGTTCTTTATTGTCGAGTAAGTTTTTAGTGTTACTTTCACGCACTGCGCATAAATGCAAATTTTTTTATCTTTCATTGGTAATAATATCTATCGATGTTTGGCTTCGCCACTCAAGAGAAACATCAACAATTCGAATCCATAACTGCGCATGTGAGGTCCTGCTTACGATGCAGATATTAGTTACTTACATATTTATCAGACTTAATGCAGAGATCACTTGCACGTTCGCTGAGGTTGCAGAAGAGCTACTTCAACTTTCGACATAAAAAAAATTAAAACAAGTATTCGCCCAAGAGAACTTCTGTTATTTCTATTTATTTAATATGCCTATACTTGATTAGGTAAGTGCTGCAAATGTACAAGACAAACTCGTTAATTGTTTTCTGTTTTCTAAGTTAAACTACCTTTACCAAAATTGTTTACTTTACGCTGAAGTTATAATTATTTCAAGAAATACTAATCTCGTAATTAAATAATACGTTATCCTTTGTGCCTTGCGAATATGTTTAGTGATTTCTCAATCTTTTTCTAGCTGCCTCCTTCACAAACGTTACGTCCACAGGTGAGAGAGAACTTTTTTTATTTTGAAATTAAATAACTTTTAAACTGTTAGAAATGGCGTGCTTACAACAGAAATTATGGTATTTATCAATATCTTTATTATAAATCGCTATTTCTCATGCTCGTAACCTTAATTTTGACCTACCAATACTTGCCTAAATACACGTATATTCAATGAGTGTTTCCATCTGTACCCTTAGCAAAGGGTACTATTAAAATGCGAGACAAACTGGTTTCTTTTGTCATCTTTTCTTAGACAAAACTACCCTTACCACAGCTGTTTGCTTCTTGCCAAAGCTATTGTTTCTTCTAGAAATTCTTATCTTGTGAATGACTGCTTTCTCTTTTTCAGGTTATCTCGTTACAAACATTACGGTCACAGGTGAGGAGCAACCTTGTTGAAATTAAAAAATTAGAATTTTAGTTGTTAAAATCGTCGTTAGTTAGTATGTTGTTGCCTTTTTACCATGCAAATTTCTCTAATGATTGCTTGTTCTTTTCCAGCTAATCCCTTTACAAACATAACGGTCACAGGTGAGAAGCAATTCAAATCAATTAAAATTTTAGTTGTTAAAATCGTCGTTTTTCAATTTTACTTGACACAACTTTACCGAAAGTGTTTGTAAATAATCTCGTATTTTTTGTGTCGTTTAATTAATTTTTAATGCCTAACAATTAATTACTCCTTTCCAGCTGTTCCCTCAACAACCAGTAGGGCATCAGGTGAGAGGAAACTTCCTTTATTTTCAGAATCTTTAACTTTGCAATAATGATTTTAGCTATATGCTGATTAGTTCGATCGGTCCCCCCTACCCTTTAACTAAAGCCTGCGATACGCTCAGCGAAGTAACGAAAAAGTTAAGAACTGTTATTTTTCTTAATATCAAGGTATGGTATGGTGTGAAGGCAACAGTCTATGTCCAGTGTTTTTGCAGGCGATCTAGGAAAACTGGGTCTGATAAAGAAAAAAAAAAGGCTAACTAATAAACTTCAGAGAAATAATGTGGAAAATGAAATATCAAAGCAAACCCAGGAGTGTAATTGTTCTTGAAAGTGTTTATAAATAATCTCGTATTTTTTGTGTCGTTTAATTGATTTTTAATGCCTAACCATTAATTACTCCTTTCCAGCTGTTCCCTCAACAACCAGTAGGGCATCAGGTGAGAGGAAACTTCCTTTATTTTCAAAATCTTTAACTTTGCAATAATGATTTTAGCTATATGCTGATTAGTTCGATCGGTCCCCCCTACCTTTAACTAAAGCCTGCGATACGCTCAGCGAAGTAACGAAAAAGTTAAGAACTGTTATTTTTCTTAATATCAAGGTATGGTATGGTGTGAAGGCAACAGTCTATGTCCAGTGTTTTTGCAGGCGATCTAGGAAAACTGGGTCTGATAAAGAAAATTAAATATCAAAGCAAACCCAGGAGTGTAATTGTTCTTGAGAAGTTCAACTTTTGAGCTAACTGAGCTTTAGAGTTAAATCAGGAATGCAAACCTTATGAATTTTTCTTTCTTTCCACGTTTAGGTGAGTTTGTTTAAATGTGACACGATATCGCCCACACATAGATTAGTCTAGAACTGCTATGTGAATATTTGTTGTTATGTATGACGTTGAATATTCATCCACGAGTGTCATGACAATTAGAGTTTTTTCTTTGGCATTTAGAGTGGAAAGAAGTGAACAGGAGTGATAAAGTTTGGCCAAAAAAATACTTTTTTCTGGTGTTCAAGAGATTCTCTTGGATGAGATTAAAAATTCACACCGGTCCAAGATAAAGTTGAAATTCACTCAAAAGACCAATCTTTGAGAAAAGAGATAAATATTTTAACAGAAAGATTCTGGGTTACTCCATCACCCTTCTGAATATACGTAGGATAAGGGCCTCTATAAGGCGTTGTATTATTGTGGCCATGTAATGGTACGTACGGCTAGCTATGTATGTTTACACACGTGTTGGTTTTTCTCAAGGTGCAGATCAAAGTGGCGATCGGAAAAAGCAAACTATGCTTCACGTCATTTACTCGACGACAATATTTCTACTTTTGGTGATTATCATTGTGTTAGTGTTTGTCATTTGGAGAGGGAAGAATAGGCAAGGTGAGATGCTTGATCTAATTTTCTCTTTTACTTCAGCCGTAATTCCTATTGGTCAGTAAAGACAATCGTAAGAAAGTACTGGAAAATTGCTCAAAAATTAAAGTTGAAAGGGAAAGTCCACCCTGCTTTCTATTTACCGACCAGTGGCAAAATCTGCTCTGGAGACTGCGATAAAAAATATTTTTGGGTCGCGCTCTCGGCACTGAAATATTTCTGCCAATTGCGTCATTGTGGAAGGAGTCTAGACATTCAATACAGCAGTCAAACACTGTGCATCCGCAAGAGTCTGAAAATGCTATGGCAGACTTCCAAACGCGTAACTATCGTAAAGTGAGGAAGAAAAGGTTAAATTTGCATCTATTCCAATACGTAAGACAAGCGAAAGAAGGATCTGGAGAAAGTTTTAATCTTGTTATCTTGTTCCAGCTTGATTGTGAAAGATCCCAATTGTTTTAAGCGCGGACGCTTCGTTTTGGGACGGAAGGAATAGGACAGAATCTCTCTCTCTATCCCTGCAGTTCTTCTTAGTCTTCTATCCGCGATAAACATAGATCTATTATCGTCAAAAATATCTTGTGTGGTTCTGCTTCTTCCTTTTTTCGCTAATTTTCTCGGTGTTTACCAGTAACTCCACCGTGAACACGACAAACAATAACTACTGCAGCGCGGCCAAGCTTTTGGGCGAATTCATTACTCCGCCGTGCTAAGTGCAAAAAAAAAGGTATGACGGTGTGAACTAGCACAAAGTACTAGAGGAAGTCTGAAACCACAACGTATCTAAGTCTTGGCCTTAGGGACTTCGAACTTTCCATGTAACCTGCAGAAATCTACGTCGCACTTGGGTTCTCGATATAAAAGCCGTTTTACTAGCCACCGTTTGACCGCCGTGATCAGATATTTTCGGTTTCCTGCGCGAGAGAAATTATTTCTTTTTTTCAAGACTCTCCGTTTTTTTAATTTTAATGTATCCACATGTATGGACGGTAGCAATAAGCCCCGTTTAAATTTTTGTGAAATATAGAAGAGTTTTATGGTGTATCTCTCTTCTATTTTAAATCTTTTGAGTTTTAACATCGAAATCAGTAAAGAATTTCAATTGCTATTTTTGGCTACCCAATAAAACATGTAATTAACACCTGCTAATCAACTCTCCCGTAAGCGGACATCCACCCTGTTTTTCTTTAGTGCCTGCTTATAGGAGTAATTCTCGTTAGGCAGACACCTCTACTGAAAGATACTTTTTCCAATTCCCGAGGGTGTCCGCCTACGAGAGAGTTGACTGTATGTTGCTTTATCTTATTTACAGGCTCATTAAAGCAAAAAAGGTTGGTAGAAATTTAGTTTTAACTTAATGTAAGGTCTTTATTATAGTTAGCTATACTACTCTCAAGATAATCAACGCGTTTGTGCTTTTTTGTGGAAAAAAGAAAGAACGAATAAGTGGAGGAACAATATTTTTTATCTGTGAAAATTTAAGGCCTACTAAAATTACATTTGTTCCCAACTTGTGTCTTCGTAGGTTAGTTGGTAATAGCGCCTGACACGCGTCTTGGAAAGATTGGTTCAAGCCGCGCGAACGCATGAATTTATTAAGATCTACTTCCTGCAATTTCTTCCATTTCATTTTACCAGTGAGCATTATTTCGTCACTGTCTCATAAAATTCATTCCTTGACATCAAAGCTTAAACAAAGAAAACTAAAAACTTCTAGGAATACTAAATTTTGTAATGGCGAAAGAAGTCCAGTGTTGGTCTCAACTTTTTATTTTTCAAATCATTTTACTCGGTTTGTTCCTCACTCGTATCTGTAGGTCGCCCTTTAGTTTGAGTTACTATTTTGAACTTACCTCATGAACCAGTCCCCACTAGAGTTTGGATAGTACACTATTGTCCATAATAATTTTGGCATCGTATACTTAATTAGTAAAAAATGTACGACTTTTTTTGGCAATCATTTTTGTTAGCAACAGAAATCCCGAATTGCGTATCTTTACCATGTATGTTTTTATTCGTCTCTTAACAGTCAGCAGCATAATCACCGAAAAAACCACATTGATCTCCAGGTAATTAAGGTCGCTGTTGTCTGGTATGTGCGAATATTTTCAATGTCTACCAAGATGAAAGAAAACTCGTCGATTTTTGAATAATAGATAGTGTTTTTATTATATTTCCCTCAGTTTGTTTTGTGTGATGCTGTTAGCTAAAGATGTTGATATTATAAGATGTCCTTTGGCCACCAGATCATGTTCCAGTGTTGGCAAGAGACTCCCAACAACTAATTGACAATCTCTAAACTTGAAGGCACCCCTCAAAAAAATTGATGCAAAACGAGACCGTAAATTTGTTGGAGTAATTCTTTACACCTCTCTTTGAGTTATGGTATCACATTTTTCTAAGATCAAAGACGATGGTCGTTTCCTGCTTTACTTTCTCATTATTATGTCAAGTGCCATTTCATTCCATGGAGAAACTCACTCTAATAATATTAATATTATTATTATTATTGGATAAATTTATTCACGTTTCTTTTTTTTGCTTTTCTTGTAGGCTAACGTCAATATGAAGAAACACGATAACAGTTTGTAGACAAATATTGACGACGTTTTAGTGTAAGAAAGCGTAGACCAACTTTTAGCGATAACTGAGTGCAAGTTAGTTAGAGAGGATATGTAATATGGCGCATAAAAAAACTCCGCCCATTTATGTAGACCTAGAACTGTGAATACATTTAATTCACCTTCATGCTGCTGATGTTCGCCCATAGAAGTTCACGTCTTTCTGTTTTTAGTAACCGGTAAAAACATGCATATATCCTAATTACACTATGTGGTTTGAGTTCTAGAACTTGATAGTTCGGATTTCCGAAAGTTCCGATTTTCGTCAGAAGTATTCCCAACCAGATAGATTTAACTCTGGGTCTATACCCTTCGGATCAATGTCATTTTCATAGCTGTTCATGTCGACGTAGCAATAAAAGTGTACTTCGTTTACATTGGGCGCCCTAACTGAGTCCTTTTGGTGGTATTATGAACTTCAGTTGCTACAAAACTCTTAACTGTGAATTATTACTGTAACGTATTTAGTTGATTAAATTGAATATATGATAGATCAGAAAATAAATTAATTGAAAAATTGATCATTAATTATCGTCACAAGAAAGTGTTAAATTGATCTGATTGTAGGTAAATGTGTGATTAATACAAGAATAAAATCGATAACGTGAACATTCAGGCGTACATTTAACTTAAGTTCATTTTCCAGGCAATTTTTTCCTTGCTGAAATCCACACGCACTCTTTTTCGTTCGCATGTTTGATCCCTTGGCTCCATTTGCATTCTTCAATCAAGCTCCCTCTGGAAACACCCGCACTGATTGCATCGCACGAGCCGGATACGCTTTCTATCAAGCTTCCCCCATGATTTCTTTGCGCCGAACAAAACGCCAGTGTCTGCGTTGAAAAGGAAGAAAACCAGATGGTTGAAAGGCCGTATATCGTATCATTCAAATAGCTCAGCAACATTTCAGAGCTCGTCCACCGCTAAATTAATTTGAGGGGACGTTTATCCTCACCTTGGTCCTGATGCTTTGTCTTCTATAGCGGTTCGTATAACTAACCGCCGGTATCAAACCCGTTCTTTATCTATTTTTCGTTATGGAACAATGTCATCTATGTGGGCACTGATACTGTTCGCTTACAATGGTGCAAGGTTAACTCTTCGTTGCGCTCAGTGCTAAATTTCTGCCTTTTAAATTGTCACAGTATTAGATCTCAGTTTTTCGATCAAGATCTGATCACCTATGACGTTAATCGTGGCTTGCTCCAGACATTTAGGATGGTGAAATCATTCCTTCGGGCTACTCCATATTTACGAAAGACAGAATGTCTGGTGCCCGTGGCATAGGTGTATTTTAAGCCATAAAATGTGACTTGCTTTCTTCGCTGCAGCCGAAGATTGACTCTGAATGCGAATGTATCTGAACTAGATGCCGGGATAACGGGAGAAAACTTGGATTCTTCGATTTTTTTCCAGTTCCGACGGTATCATATGTAACCACAACTCGCAAAATTTTACTTCTGTGGCAAAATTTTAAATTCCCATCCGTACTTAAGAGTTAAAATAGATAATTAACTTAGATGGAAGGAACATATACATCATTCGCCAACAGGATGTTAGACTTGGTTAGGAGAAATTTCTGGTTCCCCACGGAGAGCATCGAAGAGACGCTATATGTTACCCCAGTCCAGCCTAAGCTCGAGTACGCGTCCGTTGCTTGGGACCCACAATTTGAATGCGACATTGTCTGACTAGGGGGAGTGCAAAGAGCATCAACCCGTTTTTGCCCGAACGATTATGACTGCTCGTCAAGCGTCACGTCCATGCTGGAAAAATTAGAACTTTGCACCCTTATCGGAAGGAGGAAAATATCTCGCTTGATTTCCATGTAAAAAGATTTTCCATGGTTTAGTTGACAGAAAGATTAGCGCTTTTTTAAATTTTAGTAATGAGACCTTGACTTGGAGCAGCCATAGGCTAAAGCTTCTCGAATCTCACTGTAAGAAAGACGTATTCAAATTTTCTATTTTACCAATCCAAGAGATTGGAATCAGCTCCTCCCTAATACGCTTGATATTTCGTCTCTTGTCGATTTTAAGATTTAACATAGTTCATTAGCTTAATAAGAGCGTGTAAAATTGACTAATTTTTCATTCCGTACTGTATTCATTATATTATTGACGAATATTCAGTCTTAGGCTCCAAAGTCAAAGTGAGCAAAGAAAGTCTCCATATATAAAAAAAAAAAAAAAATGATGATGTGATATGTATAGATTAGAGGAAATGAGGAATGAGGGAATGCAAGTCTGATAACTTCGGCTTTTCACTTAGCACGCGCTATGCTTTAAATTTCATGAACACTTTACACAAATGGTCATCTTGGGTACTTCCGCGTCCATCCTACGATTGATTACCAACAATTGGTAATTAATAAAAGCTAAGTTTTCCGTTTGTCGCACGATGTAGTCACGTGTGATGTAGATCGCGACGTTTCGACTGCATGCTGCTAGTGTTCTTCAGGCGATGAAGTCGACTGGTCATGCGTGATCTTATAAAGTATGATGCTCTGCTGTGATTGGTTGTTTTTCCGACAACTTGCGGGTAAGACAGTCTGTCGGATCTTTGTTGAGGAGCTGGTACGGTCCGTTCTCAATAAGAGTAGACATCTTAGCTCGGTAGGTGTCGGTATCCATTCTGCTGGGAGAACCATGATGGACTGGTCTTCTTTCAGGCTTTTAAGTGCATCTCGCATCTCCTTCGTGATGTTAGGCTCTGGTAGTTCCGCCTGTTGAAGGATACCGTTAACAGCTCTTCTCACAGTATCTGCTTGTTCGGCGTCGAGTTGTCTTGCGGCTATTTCGACCTTGGCGATGATCTCTGTGTCAGGAATATTCGCAGGAGTTACGGCGAAGTTGAGTTCTTTCTTCAGCAGGGTTATATCGGCATCGCTAAGGGATCTAGAAGATAAATTAATAACCCAGTTAGTTTTGTCAACATACGGTGTATCAACCGGTGACACAGCCGCCTGTTTTTCTCGTATAAGTTTCTCAAACTTCTGCTTATGTCTGTCTTTGGTGGTGTTGAAGACTCGTTGGGTGTTGGTCTCAATCTGTTCTAGTATCCTGTTGGCGTCGTTTGTCGAGAGAGTGGATGTTATGCTCTGTGCTGTAGATTCTATTTCCTTCTTTGCATCTCCCTTGGCCTTCTGTGTCAGTCTGATCCGTTCCCCCGGCGGTCGAACTCGTAGATCTTTAGGAACAACGCGGTTCTTGATGCACCTCGTTAGGAAGGTGAGATGGTTGGTGTAGCGTGCGAGCTTGCTCGAACAACGCTCATGTCGACGAATCAACCTTAGGGCTGTGCGCCCATATATCCGGATTATTTCGTAAAAAAGGCTGTGGTTATTCATCGTGGTGAATAACAATAAAATGCCAAGTTTTCCGTTTGTCTCACGAAGTAGTCACGTGTGATGTAGATCGCGACGTTTCGACTGCATACTGCTAGTCTTCTTTAGCGATGAGGTCGACTGGTCATGCGTGATCTAATAAAGCATGATGCTCTGCTGTGATTAGTTGTTTTTTAATAGCTCTGATTGACGCATTTCGATCCATGCTGTTTCACTCAGTGAATTGCTCCAGCGGCGGTCCGCTGTCGCACGGCTCTCCTGTTGTTGATTTTTTGATCGTGGGCATCCACGTTTCTGGAATTTCTATTCCACTATCCTTGTTGATGTTGAAGTCTTATGTGAATTGCCTCTTTGACCCTGCGCGTGTAGTAATAAGGGTCACGATCAATAAACAGATCAGTAAAGTTTATTGGCAATTATTCGCCGAGCTGAGGGTCAATATCAATCATTATAAGTGGCATTAAGGTGAATAATTGTTTCGGAGCATATCTCACAGATTGAATAATGAGCAGAGAAAAAAATTCAACTCTTACAATATGCCAACTTGTGGTTGGACATGGTGAAAATCTCGGCGTGCGATGCTCATTCATGATCAGTCAGATGGTCGAAAAACGCATTACGAGAAGAGAGGAGAGGTTTCCTAGGATTTTATATCTTTTCTTATATTCTTCAGCAGATAACATAAATTTTCCTTATTCAAAGAATCTTAGAAGCTCAGTCGTAGTACTTTCATAGATTACGAAATTGGAACCACCAAATGACGTCCGAGCGCACACTTCGTAATCTGTCAGAAGGAGCCGATTTCGAGCCCGCCTGATGTCGTCTTCTTAATAAAGGTCCTAATTAGTATTCTAGACTCGCAAACTAGAGATAGAAAGGAGCATTTACTTCGTTTCGCTTAGGAATTTGTACTTGTCTACCGATATTAGAATTTTCCGTTTTGAGCCAGGAACCCATGTTTAAGAGAGTTAACCAACCTAATTCTTAAATTACAGGCCTTTAGATTAAACCTTAAATCATTTGGAAGATTATGAAAGCGATTGCTGCCAAACTAAATAAAAAATCTGTAGTTCGTGTAGTGTGATCGTCCGGGTGTGTGTAGTTCTGAAAAGAACTGTTGTTGTCACCAACAACAGTTCTTTTCAGAACTACACTCACCCGGACGATCACACTACACGAACTACTGATACTCCTGGGTTCAAACCATTTACTTTACTAAATAAAAAATATATTAAACTCATGATGAATTGAGTTTGACGCATTGTTGTTCATAGTTAGAGTCGTGCTGGTATTTCCAGTCCCTCTTAGTTAGTGATGAGTCGGGCTAAGACTTATAGAACGCCATAAGCCGGCGAAACACTAAGCTCGATCAAAGGTTTCCACTCGTCGTTGTCCCAATCATGCCATTCATAAAGAATACAACAGAGAAGCAAACTCGTTCCAGAGATCCTCTCTCTTCCTCCACCGAGAAAGTACCCTAGTTGCGACTGGTCATTGGTCTACTTATGCAGAATAAAGAACGCCGTGGAGAGGGTGGTTGCGCGACAAATCGCGAGTGCATTTTCACAATGGTGCATGCGTTCCTGAGTACACTTAAAGTCGCTATGCTTATGAGCTTATATATACCTCTTGCTAACCGAGTTCGAGGGTCGAACTGTAAGTTACTGACCGAGTTTTTTCCGCTCGGATCTATGTCCCAAGAGCGAAGCGCGTGGGCCCTAAATTTCCATTCAAGCGAAACGGCCGTTGATGATTGACACGCGTCAAATCGGCCTCCAATAAAAACTGGACTTTGAGTCGTCAAAAGTTCAAAATATTCGTTCAATATCCATGGTTCTTAATAATTCGAACTTTCTCGAAAAGATCGTTCAAGTTTACATGCGTTATCACCAACAGTGGCGTGCAGACGTCCTCTTCAGCGCTCCGGTCTTCTGCTTCTCATTATTGCTCGTTGGCTTATGTTTGCTCTCGAGCATGGAAATTCTTGGCACCACAAAGCTTCTCTCATTAACAAGCGTACTTTTGGTAATGATACTGTGAGAACCGAATCAAGAAACTTTGTCTCTTGTTCATTCTCCGGGTAAATGTAAGGTTTCTGATTTCTTAAAATCTCTTTCTTCAGTTACTGAAGAGACCAGCAGAATTTTATTCCTTAATTTGTTCCTTTTCAATAAAACGCTACTAGTAGGGAGACTTCAACTTGGACATGTACCAGGATAAGATGGAAGGACGGAAACCCAAAAAGACACCAATGAATAAAGAGGGTGGAGTTTCTGAAGAAACTGTGGTGCTGCGTCGGTGGGAGAATATAACAGGTAATTTGGTGTTAACAACTGAGTTGAAACGTAGATTGGCCACCGTAAAGAGTTGAAAGGCTGACGTTTCGAGTGTTAGCCCTTCTTCGGATCGATTGGAGGAATTGTAGGTTGTGTGTGGGTTTATATACAGAAAATGGAATCGGTGGGAATATGGTGACGAGAGAACAAGAATAAATTAGTTGAATGAAAAGCGCTCGTGGATACCGTGGGGATTAAGAGTGCCGATTTGGAAGGTTAAAATTTTTGTTCTAGTGTTTTGCGACCTTCTGTACTGCCTAGATGTAGGGAAAGGCCGCAAACTGCGAGGTGTTGTTTTAGAGCGATTAGAGAGATTAAAGTGTCTAGCGGCTAGTTTGGATGCGTCCTTGTCATTTCTTTCTACGTCGCGAAGGTGTTCTCGGAATCGGTCACCTAGTCGTCTTCCTGTTTCACCAATGTATAATTTATTGCAATAAGTGCAAGTTATGCAGTAAATGACATTGGCGGGGATACACATAAAGTGAACAGTGATCTTAATGGATCTCTTGGGTCCCAATATTCTCTCTACGTTATGAATGAAAGGACAAGTATTGCAACGTGAGCGAGTGCATTTAAAAGTTCCAGAATGGTCGTTGGTTTGAAATGAACTCCTGACCAAAAAGTTGCCTGTGTTTTTGTCGCGTTTGAATGAAATTGCCAGTTTCTGAATCGTTTTAAAGTTTTTGAGAATGATAGATTTAACTACAAACTACAAATGGCTGAGAAGGAAAACACTGACCGCATTCGACTCACTCTCACATTTCACCCTCACAACCCCGCAGTTAAATCTATCATTCTTAAAAACTTTAAATTATAACATAGCGCGCGTGCTTGCCCTATACAAGTCCTATTGAGCCGCTATGAACAAAATCTTTATTTACGCACGCCCGTGCGTAAATAAGATGACGTGAGCAATGCAATGTTCGCAGCCAACCTAAGTCTTCTGCTACAGCCCTATCGTCAAAATAACGGTGTGGTGGTTGCCCAGGAGAAAACTGTAAGTTTCCTGCAGTCTGTCTTCTCCAGTTGTACCGTGCACGACAGCGTAAACATTATTTTGAACAATCGAAACCCTTGATAACTTCGGGTCTTTGACTTTTAAAACATTTTTTAGTGTCACTTGAGTTCATTTGGCTTTGATTTTCTCCATTTTCCCCGTAGATCTTGTGCTTTTCATTCACTGTTATCGGTTAACTGGCTTAAATGTCCTCGCCCAAACCAAAGTATAAAATGTGGCGTGTTTTTGACCAGCCAATAGGAACGTTTGTTTACCCTTTTTTTGAGTGCGTTGTGAGAATTTTGCTCTCTATCACAATAAGAGGCTTCTTCGCGCAGATCCTTGTTGTCGCTCGGTTATAAAAGAATTTGCTCATGCTTTTGGCTGTGCGTATATCGAGTTATGGATGCACTTGGGAAGTTTGGAGAGCACTCAAACAGCTAGAGTTGCTCTCGGCTGCGCCTCTAGCTACTCTTACGCATTTTTCGTGCTCTCCAAACTTCCCGCGTGCATCCATAACTTGATATAAGCACGCTAAGCAATTTCTTAATTATCAGGTCGTCCTCACCAGTTTTTTCCTGTGGAATTACGCGTCTTATTAATCACTTCATTAATACCCAGTCATATCCGGTGGCATGGAAATCAAGCAACGTGATACCCCCCATAAAAAAGCTGATGAGAATAAGAAATTATATTATGGTCCCATTTATATCGTTCCAGTTATATCCAAAGTATGTGAAAAAGTTTTGTTTGACCAGATGAACACTGCCATATCTCCGCATTTTTCTTCCAACCTGTCTGGCTTTTTGAAGGGTGACTCTTGGTGTATGGCTTTAGTTAAAATCACAGTTGACTGGCGTGCAGGCCTTCATGATAGAAAGGGTATTGTTGCTATAGCCATCGACCCCAGGAAGGCCTTCGACAGCACCTCCCATAGTTTGCTTATTGCAAAGCTTAAACCTTATGGGTTTTGACACAGATGCCATTAATCTTATGAAGTCCTATTTCCATGGTCGTCGCCAAAGAATTCGACTCGACAACGTTTTTCCTAAGTGGAAACCAGTTACAGCTGGTGTACCTCAAGGATCTCTACTTGGACCCCTCCTATTCAATATTTTTATCAATGACTTGAACGATCTCATCTCCACTATGTCTCTCCGCTTATATGCTAATGATACAACTGAATACTACACAATCACTCGTCTATGGTTTTAAATTATACCATTAACAGGGAACTTAACGCTATTAAAGAATGGATTACAGTAAACCATCTATCAATAAACACTGTGAAAACTCAAGCTCTTGTCACTTATAAGTACGAACTTTGGCTAGCGATACTCCTGTGGAAATAAAAGACTCTCTAAAGTTACTAGGAGTCATCATGGACTCGAACCTGACCTTTCAGGAGCGTTTAAAAACCCAGCTTAATAAGGCATATGCTAAGACAAACCTTTACGTAGAATTAGACGTTTATTCCAGTGCATGTAATGATTAAGTTATATAAGGCTTTTATTCTTCCTCATCTTGAGTATTGTGGCTCAATACTTATTGGAATAACTGAATCTTTATCTGATAAATTAGAAGATGCAAATTACTTTATTCTTAGAACGTCATTAGGTTTACCTAAGTCCCCTTCGTATGATAGTATTCATAGATTAATTAACATGCGTACACTACAACATGCGTACATTAGAACTTCACCATGCAATGCTAGAATTGCTGGTGATATGAATACTTTTAGAAATATGATAGACAAATTAAACCTTGTACCGTTTATTTATCGTTAAGCACCGTAATAGGAATTTGTTACTGTGCCCTGCACATGATTGTTTATAGTCTTTTACACTTATGTAATTTTCATTATTTTCAGTATTTTTTAATTGCACGAGCGCATTGTAAACGAGTATGTTGAATGCTTTTAGGCGTTATGTGGATAAATAAACTATCTATCAATCAAAGGTTTTCTGCAATGAACTGTGATACAACGTTCTGTATTTAACTCTTTTTTTTAGTTTTTTCAAATGCCCGAAAATCTGCACGGCACAACGTTAACGCGTTTCTTCGTTGGAAGTGCCTACAAAGTGCGAACGGCTAACTTTGTTCAATGTGAATTCAATGTGAATTCAAATTAGTGAGTGAATGAATTTTATCAATGCGATCGGAAACAATCCAAGGATCTTTTCAATGATAAGTATCCAATTTTTGGTGTTTTGTGGCGTTTTCATGGAAGGTGCCAAGTGGATCACTCGGTGCAGACTGAACAAGATCAAAGACAGTTGGAAATTGAGCGGATGTTTGTTAACGCAGAAAAAGAAGGACATGGGATCAATTCGGAGCTGAACCTACTTTTTTAAGCCTTTTGTGGAAGACAAGCGGCAAACAGAGAAAGACGAGCAAGACGAGCAAGACGAGCAAGACGAGCAAGACGAGCAAGACGAGCAAGACGAGCAAGACGAGCAAGACGAGCAAGACGAGCAAGACGAGCAAGACGAGCAAGACGAGCAAGACGAGCAAGACGAGCAAGACGAGCAAGACGAGCAAGACGAGCAAGACGAGCAAGACGAGCAAGACGAGCAAGACGAGCAAGACGAGCAAGACGAGCAAGACAAAGGTAACTCGAGTATGTTTTTTTGAAATCTTGAAATACTGTCTAGTTCGTACTCGCCGCCATTTTGCTTGCGAATCCCAAATTTTTGGAGATATGTGACCAGCCGTAACCAGGGTGGTTACGGCCGGTCATACTCCCGTAACTCGGGAGAGGAAGAAAGAGGACCCTGGAAGCGAGGTTGTGACAGACGTTCCTTGAATGTTTCTTTAACTGAATTTGGTAAAAAATATTTGAATCAATTTTGGCTTGTGAAAGGATAATGGATCTTTCTCTTACTTACGTTTTACGACTGGTTTTAGCAACGCTTTTATTCTCTTGCGCAATTCCGAAGTCAGGTAACGTATATCGAGTTCAGATTAGAGAGATTTTAGTCTTGTTCGCAATTTGAAATAAAGCTATTAGAAGAATTCAACATGCCTAAACACATCCTTGAATATTCTGACACATGAAGTAAGAAGTTACTGAAGTTACGTGTGATGTGCTGAGATCTAGTTTAACGTTTTCTGTTTTCCTTCTTCAGAGTCATTCAGAATCAGCAAAAAACCTTCCGATCCTACTACTGTGGTGCTTGGAGTAAACAGCGACCGACTTGAGTGGCGGTATTCTGATGCACCGTGATTATTACGTTCTGTTTTACGGAAAACTGGTGAAACAATTAAACCAATTTCATTAAGTAAGAATGGGAATGCGTTCAATCCAAACTCTACAAGTGAATTCGATACTTTGCTTAATGTAACACTAATACTAAAGAAGAGTACAGAGTAAAGAGCTACGAGGAATACACCTACTCTATCTTTCTGCTGGATTCTAGTGCCAGAGTGGTAGAGACACACGCAATCTCTATTAATGTGGTCGGTAAGTGAAGCTTTTTCATGAGTTTCTTTAATACTCTTTGTCCTGTGATGCATTTCTTGCGTATTTAAATCAGCAGCCATCTCTCAGTTTGCCTTAAAGGAGAGGTTTTTATTAAAAAATTGCAGGTCCTTCTATATGTAAATGTGTTATTTGTCATCAATATTGCTCAGGCGTGCAAAAAATGTTCTTCGTCGTGCACCAATTCACGCAGAGAAAGACTTCATGATAACATTCAGCGTGATTTTGATGCTACAAGTTATTCACTCTGACAAATAGCTAACCCTCGAAACGTTAGATAAAGAGTCTCTTTACGGTGACCAATTTATCAACATAGTTGATAGAAACCACATTATCTTGTACAGATCCGCTACCGACGCAGCAACACAATTACTCTAGAAACTTACCTTTCTATTCACAAATTGGTTTGGTCTCGTTCCTGTGTGTTTGTTTCGAGGTAATTTAAATTCAATATGGAGACAACTTATGCTCCGGTCGAACCTGTGATTTTTCATAAATTTTAGGGCTCTCTCTCTCTCTTGCATAAAACTTACCCTGAAGGCTATTATCTGCCTTGGCTTAACTGCAGAATACCCCGCCACTTTGGTCCACCTCATTTACATGTGTCGGGACGCTTTAAAGATCGAGGAATAACACAATAAACGTTATTCTTATTCAATGGCATGTAAATGAGTGGCAGGGTATTCTGCAGTTGCTCCTCTGCCTTTCTGGAGCAAAAGGTATTAAAAAAATAAAAAACTAACGCTCACGTGCGTTTTATAAAATGTTGATTGAAGGCAAAGGTAGGGGCATTTTAGGAAGGACAGCTTCTTTATGATATTCAATAAAACATATAGAAACATGCAAAAGATCTGTACATAAAGGTTACATTCCTTTACAAGAGAGCCTGTGACTTCTGGATTCTGCTGCTATCCGGGAAAAAGTCAAAGACGTTGCAAAATGATCTCTTTTAAACACTCGTATATCTTGGAGAGAACGACCGAAAAATGATTGAGCAATTTTTCATGAAACCGACGGTAAAAAATCAATAACGGAAGCTGATGCGGCTTCTTGCCAGGGAAACCATTGCCGCCATGAATACATGCAACCTAAATTGATGTAGTGAACTGTTCATCATCCATGGGGTCATCGCTGTTCTGAGTGAAGGGTCAAGGTGTTTTCGTCCGGAGAGAACTTTGAATAACATCTTATCAGATACTTTGAACCCGTTCCCCTGAGTTTTTTTTCTGAAATGAGTTTACCTTAACGACTGCTTTGCTCAGCAAAAATATAAATATGCAAATCTAATATTCAGAGGTTCACAAAATCAATGGCAAGAGAACAAAAATCGATGGCAAACTGAATTCAGAATGGAAGTTATAGAGCTTCTGAACATTCATTCTCTTAGGACTAGGACTAGGCAGGAAAAGCGATTGGCATAGGGTGGAGAGGGTGGCAGTCGATGTTACAGGATCAACCCCAGTCTTTAGGTTTCCCCTGACAGTTTACTGGTATCAATACACTCTCCTAGGTAGAGAGAAAAACTGCGAGCTAGGAGTAAAGTTTCTCACTCAAGAAATCGATGAAGTGATTCGTTTAGGCTTTCTTAGTTGCTATAATCTTTGCCTCCCTGTTATTTAATAACATTCTTTTAATATCCATAATTTCTTCGAGGGGCAATTATAATTGTAATTAACATATTGTATTAAGTAATAACTGTGACGACGTCACAAAATCTAGATTCACTGTATTTATCTTAAATTGTTATTTCACAGTCCCTCCAGAAATTACTGACCCACCGGAACCAAAGCCTTTACTTGCCACCAGAGAAAACCATACTTTGACCTGCAATGCATCTGGTGACCCTCTTCTCAAGATTTCTTGGACAAAAGATGGCATTCCTGTGGATAGGTTTAATGTGAGAGGTTACCAGCTATATTTGCTTAGCGTGAAGTTGGAGGATGTAGGATCATACGGTTGTAAAGCTAGTAATGGATATGGAGATAATGCCACCAGTGTCAGCATCGTTGACATAAGATGTAAGTAGTCTGTCCTGTTTATCTGATTACAGCAATGCATTTGTAAGTTGGTTAATATGCTTTGATTTTAGACAGACACAAATGTAATGTGATTCATGTTTGAACTGCTAAACAACAGAATGGCGTGGAATTAGCACAATATAGAGGAAAAAGTATTTGCTTTCTCTCCTTTTGAGATGTAAGTACAATTATTTTTTGTTTAGATTGTCCTTGTGCCAAGCATAAAGGTGTCTGTCTCTGTGAAACAGTTTTTTTTATCATTTATGCTCATGCTTTAACAGAGTTCAGAGCCAGCTTTGTCATGTGGGCGTGAATTGACCGAACAATACCCAGTAATAAACAACAAACTATCGCCTTCTTTATTTCTACTCCCGCTTCCCGCCCTCTCCCGCCCCCTGTCTCCTGGGGTCTACCTGCATATTCAAGACATCTTCTCATACAAGACTCTACTCTAAAAAAGTACAAGCCTTCCTTCAATGGCTTATGGAACAATTTGGTGGCCAAAAGAGTAGGGTTCGAAAAATGTTCTTTTCAGAAACCTTTTTCAACCCATAAAAAAGTCACCAGTTGAGGGTATAAAACGGTTAAAGCAAAAAAATAAATAAAAATATAAAAGTGGCAACTAGTATTGAAAGTCTCGTGGCCAACAGTCCATTTTCAGTGGCTTTGCCAACCAGCTGGTGACAATTTGAGATGCTACTTTCTATATGATAAACTGATTTGCATGTTGTACGTTACTGAGACACAAGTTTGCTTGTCACACTATTTCTCACACACTATTTTTTATCGCCCAAGAGAGTTTCTGTTTTCTATTTATTTAAGATGCCAATACTTGTTTAGGTATGTATATGTACCCTTAAAATGGTGTGCTGCAAATGTAAAAGACAAACTCGTTTATTGTTTCCTGTTTTCTAAGTTAAACAAGCTTTACCAAAATTGTCTACTTTATGTTGAAGTCGTTGTTATTTCAAGAAATTCTAATCTCGTAATTTAATGATTCGTTATCTTTTGTGCCTATTAAATATGTCTACTGATTACTTAATCTTTTTCCAGCTGTCCCCTTTACAAACGTTACGTTCACAAGTGAGAGACAGCCTTATTATTTTGAAATTACGAACTTTTTAGCTGTCAAAATGGCGTGCCTAATTTCCTGTGATGATCTAAGGGGTTATTCAACTGGTTAATTTAATCACCAATAGCTAAAAAGGTTTCCTTTTACAACATGTAAAATGGGACAAAATTCTTTTAGAACCTTCAGTATGGTTGAGTCTAGGAGGCGAAATCCATTGGATCGAATTTGAAGAACAGTGATTAACCGAGCGGCAGTAAACGCGAGAAAATGCATGCCTTGCACGAATTAATTCGAATTCACCGTTGCAGAGAAAATGCCGGAAAATGCATGTTTTCGACTGGTTGACTCCAGTGAATATGAAGTTGGAATGCGCAAAACGGCTGCGAATGGCAGAATAACTGTTTTTTCCATTATTTAACCGAACAGTAATAAACAGTAAAACGCCAGAAAATGCGTTTCATCGAATTTGCTCGAATTCACTATTGGGAAGAAACATTGGAAAATACATGCTTTCGACTGGAAAACTCTTGTGAAAATTTCGTTAACCGTGCGAAAAATGTTTCCGAACAGAAGAAAACATAACATTTCCTATGCGTTGTGCGAACGGCAAACACAAGAAATCATTACGTTTTCCTGCATTTGCATACATTAATCTTCCAGGAAAATGCGTTTTCAGCCGCTAACTCCGGTGAATACTTAGTTGTACACTGGGAAAATGCCAATGAACAAAAGGAAAACAAGCTGTTTGCAATGCGTTAACCTAGCGGTTAATGCCGGAAAATGATTTGTGTACCTGCATTTACGGCGAAGGAAAACTAACGAATACTGGGATTCACAGATGCGAAAACGAACAGAAAACGTAGGATTTTCCGTACGCAAAACATGGGTAAACGTTTGAAAAATGCCACGTTTTCCGTGAATTCAATCTTCGTTTTCCGTACGGTGAACGCTAGTTTTTTTGCCGTGTAATATTTCAAAACCCTCTTTTTAGCCGTTCCCTTAACAAGCAGTACGGCCTCATGTGAGAGGGAATCCGCTTCTTTTCAAATCTTCAGCCACTTAAATTATTGATTCTCAATTTGACTTGAAAACAACTTTTTTGAAAAGGCTTGGGAAATAAATTTATGTATATCATTTGATCGCGTAGTTTAATATTTTGTCACCCTCTGTACCACACAAATATGTCTAATGATTGCTTGTTATTTTCCAGCCTTTCCCTTCACAAAAGTCTCGGCCAAAGGTGAGGAGTAACATTGTATATTTTCCAATCAACTAACTTTTTAGTCGTTAAATATTAGATACCAAATGTCTCTCTCAGTTTTCTTGTTTATAGATGCGAAATTGGTTATTTCTGAATAACCTAAGCAAACTGCGAAATGGCTTATTTAACAAATAACCAAATACCTAAATGCGTTTTTTCGCTAAATAACCAAATTGCAAAATTGGTTATGAAACAAATGACCAAAAGCATAAATTCGTTTATAGGCCAAGTAATCAAAATACATTGAAGAAATGTAAAATGGTTTCCGTGTTTACATAGCCTGATGTAGCGTACGAAACCACGACGCGAGGCGGAGTGGTTTCCAGCTTATCGAGTGTTCTCCCAACCTCCCACGTGTTTACATCAGGCTATGTAAACACGGAAACCATTTTAC